GGAGGTACCTGAGACTGATTATTCTCTGGCCAAGCCATTTGGGGTCCAAAAGAATCAAGCTCCACTGGGTATCAACAGGGACCTTGTACAACCCCCAATATATAAAATCAAGACAATATGTAAAAACTGACGCAAAAAGTAAAAACCTAACGCAAACGTAAAAAATAACGCAATATGTAAAAACTTAAGGCAAAATGTAAAAACAACTTTTGACGCAATATGTAAAAGATTAACAGAATATTTTAAATCCAGCATTTTTGTTGTTTTTAAGTCTTGGTGACTGAAATTCATTTTTTTTAGAAACTTTACATTATTGTTTTTCAAAATAACTAAGATATTGCAATATTTCTCTCAAACTTAACCTCATTTCTAATTTAATTGAAATCTGATCTACAGGGTCATTAAACATCAAAGTAAAGCCGATAATAGTATAATATACATGTACAGAGATACTTGATATCATAATCTATATTCGACAGTATTCAAGGAAATCATTTTATTCTTCATAGTATTTTTACGTAAATGGTCATATGGGTTGTATTTATTATGTCCTTTTCAAGGAGAATTTACCATTTGTCCTTTTCTTATTCCACAACGCGCATGTAGCGCAAAGTTGGGGATATAAAATTACCATCCGTCAATCTGTCCGTCCAAACAACTGGTTAGCGCGATATCTCAAGAAGTAGTTCGTCAATTTTTAATGATATTTGATACGATAACCAAGGTTCAACTTCAAATTCTGCAGATATCAGGGTTTTATTTTATTTTTCATCTTTTCCTTTTCAATGTTACGGTTGAGAGAACAGTTTGTTCAGATTTGTCCTATTTAGTGGTGAAATAATAACAAATTATTTTCCTTTTTGGAAATTAATGCATTAGTTACTTTTCTTGGTAGACAGACAAACAGTTGTTGCTTTTAATCCCACCTCAAAATTAAAAATCCCAACACTTTGAATGAATTCTAGAGAAAATATCATATTTATCATCATGTATTTACTTATATTATATTACTCCAAAATGTGGAAATTACTGTATAAGTATAAATATGTCGCTGGACACAAATATCTTTGATTTAGAAGTGGTAAATCCATCCTACAGTTTAAGGTAATAAGGACATGCAAGGAGCATCGCAGGGATTTGGGTATTTCCATTCTAATCATATCTGATTTCCTTCAATCTAGTCACAGCTGATATTGCTGTCGGGCGGTGGGGTAGCCTAATGGTTAAAGCGTTCGCTCGTCACGCCGAAGACCCGGGTTCGAATCCCCACATGGGTACAATGTGTGAAGCCCATTTCTGGTGTCCCCCGCCGTGATGTTGCTGGAATATTGCTAAAAGCGGCGTAAAACCAAACTCAGTCAGTCAGTCAGTGATATTGCTGTCAATGAAATCGAGCAATACCAGAGACATTTGAGATTGGTTCCCGATGTTGATCGCTCAAATTTATTGTATTTAATGCAATGTAAGTAATATGGAATAGTGATGTAAATTGGTAACATGACTCGCTGTTCAAGGTATCAGAAAACTAAATCCATCAAAAATGTCAATGCCAAGATCAATGACACCTGCATAGAATTGCAAAATCACAAACCACGGCAAAGAAATTAAAATCGTAAATCGACATTCATGTGATGAATTGACGTAGCATCAAACATCTCAGTATAATTAATGTTTTGAATAGCTGAAACATTGCTGAAAAAGTATTTAACCATATTAACTCACTCACTCACTCACTTTCGGGCCATATGCCGATCACCTGGTTCTCACGGTTGTATAAAGAATCTTTGGAGTAGAGTTCAGAATCTTTGATGTAAACGGAGCAGTGACGCAAGTTCTCCCCAAAGAGATTCTACCAGGACAGTCCAGTGATATATCTTGGCTACTTTCCTGGAAATGAAGGGAGCACTACATGAGTCTAAATCCAACTGATCAATTTAATGTAAGAATAGAATGGGCAGATAGACAATGGGCAAGTTCAGGTCAAAGAGAGAGAGAAAGTGGTCCAGAGCAATGGTACAGTGAGAAAGAGAGAAGGCAAGGGGCAGAGCAGCCATATTATTTTATTAGTTTGTTCTCTATATTAGTATTTGAGAAACAGATGTTCTTATTCATAAAATACAAAGTTTGGTCGAAGTTTAATTGTTTGTTGTGTTTAAATGTCCAAAGATGCTGTTCCAGTTGAAGTTACACCATTTTATATCATTTGGCAAGGAACAGAACAGACATATTATTTTATTATTTTCTTTTCTTTAGTATTTTCTAAACAGATGTCCTTTTTCATACCTATATGTCATTAAAACGTCATTTAATAAAGGGGCGGTGGGGTACCTTTGAAGAGTTGGCTCGTCACGCCAATATTAATCAGTTGGTTTACTGTGAAGTTGATTTCTGTTGTCCCCCGCCGTGATGTTGCTGGAATATTGCTAAAAGCGGCGTAAAACCAAACTCAGTCAGTCAGTCAGTCATTTAATAAAAGTACACATTTGAAAATCTTCTTTCATATTATCAGTTGGTTTACTTGAAGTTGTTTCCCACCCTCAACTGAAGCTATGGCGGGTCGAGAGGCACGCGTTTAGAAATCATAACAGTATTCCCATAACCGACCATCCTTGTTTCATATATACTGAAAGGCAAATAAATGTCGTAATATTGGAAATGACATTTAAGCATCAATGGAGTATTTGAACTATTAAATTTATTAATTTGTGTTGTTATAAAAGTAATTCGTAACATTTCAAGGCGGATTTCCCCTTAAATATACAGCATGTTCCCTATAACCACCAATTTGGTATTAGCATGTTTCTTAGAGTTATAAGTGTAGTTTACTGCAAGTGTCAGTTCGTGAGTGTACATTACAAGTGTTATACTGGCCCTTTGTGCCATTCTCTTTATTGTATAGGCTTATCATCCATTCTCCCGGACTCATTTTGTGTGTTTCATATGGTCTGAGAACATGTCTGGGCCCTCATGAGGGCAGCCGGCCGGCCGAGAAAACGAAATCATTACGTTCGACTTATTAATACTAAAATGATTGTGTCATTAAGTTCTTGGTTGATATAGCTCCTGTGTAGTCACTCATGTCACCCGGGAAGATCTGGGGTAGAAATGGTGTTCCCAATCTATGCTTGTCTTAACACCCGATCTTATGGGATCGGGTGGTCAGGCTTGTGGACTTGGTTGACAAATGTCATCTATCCCAATTACATAGATCGATGTTCATGCTGTTGATCACTGGATTGTCTGGTACAGACTCGATCATGTACAGGCTGCCATCATATAGCCTGAATACTGCTGAGTGTGGCGTTAAACAACAAACAAACAAAACAAAACAAAAATCGCACACTTGTCAATAATGTAAGTCTTGCGGTTATTTAACTAACCCACGATTGCAAGACAGTCCATTCTAAAGTTATTGATGACTTCTCAGTATATGCATTTGATGCTGTATAACTTTGTCTTATCAAGTTTACCTGCTTTGCGGGGGTGTTAATGGATGAATGTATTACTCAAATATCCCCAGACCGCTGCTTCTAACATACCATGTGGCAAAGATATATAAATTACAAAAGGTAGCACATAAATCCAGAAGATCTCTTTTATATTTACATCTTACTGCATCTGAATATATGTTGTTTATCTATTCTGATTCATATTACAGCCTTTTTTAACAGAGCTACAGATAACTTTTGGGGTCATTGAGTTATGTACTCACTTGTGTTCATCTCAGTTGGGTATCCTAATTTTCCTTTGAGTAACCAAATATATTGTACTCACCTCACTCAAACTCAATTGGGTATTTTGCCATTTTCCATTAATTTTGAAAATATCATAAAGTTTAAATGTTAGTGTTTGTTATTTATATTTGATCTGTAATATGAAAAACGATAAGAAAGACTGCAAGCTGCCAAGTTCATGTGCTGAAATAGAACCTCTCAGTATACCTCAGTTATTTTATCTATCTACTGGTACCCAAGCTAGGATTTGACATAGTTTAGTGTATGCATGTAAGATCACATTTATTGAGTATTTACAAAAATTCAAGCGTACTTGTACGCAATAGACTTAATAGAAATTGAGTTTTCACATAAATATTTGCGTAAATTTACGCAGATACGCAGCTTATCTGTACCTCTGCTTTAAACAGAAACATATTACACAAAAAAGCAAACAAACACGTTGTGAATACTGTTCCTATATTATCCTGATGATACATGATGGCTATGACTGCATCAAGACAATCACATACAGCAATATACAGCAGCCATTCCCCACATCTCAAGGCACAAACCGTGGTATATCATAAACACATCTAGGGACATTACAAGCAGTGCTGTAAAAAGTGAGTTCAATTAATAATAATAATAATGTGTACTTCTGTAGCGCCAAATTCCATACACCAAGTGCATGCGCGAAGTGCATACAAACAGATTGTTCATTATTACCCCGTATAACCCAAGCTGCCTGTGAGGCGCTAGAAGGTTATAGTCACATGACTTATCCCACTGGGTACCCATTTTCTGCTGGGTGAACAAACACATGTTTGAACAAACTCACTTGCTTAAGGTGAGACCACATGTATCACATGTGCTTCATTGTGGAGCAGAACTGAAGTCCTAGAAACTCTCAGAAATCAAGCTGCCGAACACGGTCACCCATCCAAGAACTCTTCACATCAAACAGTGCACAATTAGGGAGATCAGACACTGTGACATCACTAAGTCTTGAGTTAAGGACTCACTTCGTTTACCAGAAAGGTTGGGGGAAGGGCTTTGAGATTACAGATGAGGTCATAGTAAAATGACACTGCATGCTGAAGGTGTTCAGGAAGCTGTTGTACAAAGCGATCTTAGCGCTAAGGTGAATGAACTCCTATACCTTAACATAGACTTACGACTGGCATAGCGCCAAGGTTGCTCTGCACAACAGCCCCCTAAAAAAACGTCACAGTTCTATATTTTCAGATAAATGTGGTAAATTTAAACATTATGTGTTGGTCATTATTCTTGGGAGGGGTGGGTCATGGAAAAATGTAAATATATTACACAATATAATATATAATATAACACCATCTCCGCAACCCTACGTCACCCTTACAAAATATGACAATTTCCTGACCAAAAGATTAAGGTGTTGTCACAGATTAACAAAAACAGGCCCATCTTCAAACATGGGTTATATACACCGAATACATTACATAAATATATCATTATTGCATGTTACATATCAATGTGCTTGTATATTTTTTTTAGGTACAGGAATACATACACAACATTTTTCTAATTTGTTTGAAAAAACTCATGTTATAAAATATGTCACAATTCTTGAATTTAGAGCAAGGTTAATACATGAATTCATTTAAATAAATCAGTATAACACTCATGCAACAGCCAAAAAATTCTTTTTCATTTTCACTTAATCTGTTTAAGTTCCCCTTAAGAAATATGCACTGATCATGACAGTTGTGTCACAGTAAGAAATCTTCCGGTATGAAGTCATGTTTAGTGTGACATGGTTTGAACCTCACTTCACATTAATATTCCCATCATGCAAAATGCGGACTGGATGACATAAGCAATACACTAAATGACATGTGCTCAAAATTATATCTGCACCAGAGCAAAACTGACTTGAACACTGTAATGTTTGAACCTCTGGCTAATAACTGGCAATATATACATGACACAGCTCATGAAGATGGTTGACTTTCTTGTACAATGGTGTCCTGTTCATACTGTTCCTTAGCAGACAGGTAACGCTCTATGTAGTGCACAATCTCAAACACAACCTGCAACAAAGAGATATAAATACAGATTTGGGATGGTCAGAAGATAGATTGTTTGGAAAAATATCTGTCTGAAACAAAAGTACTTTGATAACTTTCACATATAAAATGCTGGATATCTTACATTCGTGTTAAGGTCAGAAGGTGAAAATAGAAATCTGGGAAAACATTGCTGATAAGTTTATGCTTTTATCTTGGATAGACACCATTTGTTATAAGAAAAAACAACAAAACAAATATTTGTCATATCCAAAGTCAAAAGTTTGATTTAAAAATGGTTAGATTTGGGGAGAAAACAAGTAGTCCCTCTTGTTTTGATTTACCTCAGTGCATCAGTTCCCATGTGGAAACGTGTTAGTATTTTAAAGTAGAAAATGGTCTTCAGCAACCCATGCTTGTCCCAAGAGGCAACTAATGGGATGAGGTGGTCAGGATCGCTGTCTTGGTTGATACATGCCATCATATCCCAATTGTGTGGATCGATACTAATAATGTCAATCACTGGATTGTCTGGTCCAGGCTAGATTATATACAGACTGATGTGGGGGTTCAGCAATTTTGTACATCAAAATATTAAAACATTATTTAAGAAATACAGGAATGGGGAGGGGGTCACTTACTTTGTACAAAAATTGTAGGGGAGGGGGAGAGGGTCACTCACATTGTACATGCTTCTCCATAAAATCATTCCCACCCACCCCACCCCAGCCATAAATTATAAACGGTCCCTAAGCCTAGGTAGGAATGACATATGCAAACCAAGAATGGTTGATGACAGAGTTACAGTGACTGGGACAGCCTTACCTCCACCAGGATGAGGATGATGATCATCCACTCCAACCGTGTGTGGTGTGTGTCATTCAGGTGAGTACTCAACAGCTCCATCAGCTCACACAGGTGGCTCAGTCTCTCATTCATCACCTTCAAACATACACAGAGCGTGAGTATAGTTCTACAGTTCCACAAAGCTTTGGGGCTGTGGGGTAGCATAACGGTTAATGTGTCAGCCTATCATGCTGAAGACCCAGGTTCTATTCCCCTCATGGGTACAATGTGTGAATCCCATTTCTGGTATCCCCCACCATGATATTGCTGGAATATTGGTACAACCCAACTCACTCACTCATTCTAAGCAGCTTTTAGCAATACTCCTGTAATGTCATGTCAGAAATCAAGGAGATAACAGTAGTAGGCTTCACACACTGAACCATATTGGGATCAAAACTGGACTCTAGTGGAATAAATCAAAGCCAATACCACTAGGCTACTCAACTGCCCCTAAAATGTTTACATCAACGCGGACTTATCTAACTGCAGTCTAGTCAATAACTACTTCATCAACTAGCAAGAAACAGTCTGGAACTACATTTAAAAGTAGAGTTTAAACATAATAAGGACAATTATTTGTTGATGTCACAAGATGAAATTTGTTATTACAGGACTTGGGCTTTGGTTACAGTCACAGACTATAATTGGAGGCTTTAAGAAGGGACAATGAGCTTAGATTGCATTGGGTTTAACACTGCTCCAAACAGTATTCACCTGAGTAAGGTGTGTTGGGTTAATGTAGGATGAAAACAATGCAGGTCTCAGACTTTTACCATTTTAGAGAAATCCATGAGCCAGTATGGTGCCAACAAACCCAGAAACATTGAAACATCACTGGGAGAAACTGGGATTCAAACCCACTACCATAGGCTCTGGCATGGCCAGGGGACACAGTTACTGTGCATAATGATCCACTTATCAGGGATATATTTCCACATGCTTTGAGAATGAATGTCCTCTGTGGTGTGGAGAACAGTATCTGCTGGAGTGATAATTATGGCTTAGATGCAAAAGACACTTTGTTTTGGTGAAACTGGGAGTTGTAATAGTAAATTATTCATAATTGGTCAGCTCCACAGAGCTACAGATAACTTTTTGGGTCATTCAGTATTTCAGTGTCAGAGTTGGTTAACACCAGCATGAAAATCCAGAATGATGCAGGTGGTAGATAGTTACCACCTACATAAAACCAAGTGGATGCAGACAAACCCAAGAATCAAAATCACAGCTGAACAGGGATTCTAACCCATTATAGTATTCTGTAGAGTTTGAAATTCAGCTGGGCAAGAACCACTAAGAAGTTCAGAGGATAAATGAAAACCCAATGATGAGTAGTAGCTACAGTTCTGAGTGAGTTCGCAATACTTCAGTTGATTTTCAACAAAAATGGGTCTGACTGTAACTTATAGGCAATACAAACATGGTAACAAATTCTGTCATATTCAGGCAGGGCCTGCTACAAACTTAGAGAGCTTGGGAAATAAGGCTTCCACTGGTCCTCTGGATAAGTCTATAAAAATACACATTCGGAGCCAGTCCTTGCCAGCCTAAGGGAAGCAACCCTGTTAAGAGTACTGCACTGCCTGATGTGACTGTGCCAGTGGTGGAGCTGTGGACGAGGAGGTGGGGCTGTGGGGCGTGATGGGGATGGGGGTGGCTGGGGATGTGGGCTTGGGGTTGTGACCAGTGGGTGGAGATGTGGGGCTGTGGGGCTGTGGGGATGTGACTGGGCCAGTGGGTGGGGATGTGGGGCTGGAGGGCTGGCTGTGACTGGACCAGGAGGTGGGGCTGTGACTGGGCCAGTGGGTGGAGATGTGGGGCTGTGGGGATGTGACTGGACCAGGAGGTGGGGCTGTGACTGGACCAGGAGGTGGGGCTGTGGGGCTGTGACTGGACCAGTGAGGTGGGGGCTGTGACTGAGCCAGGGGTGGGGGTGGGGGCTGTGGGGCTGACTGGACCAGGATGTGGGCCTGTGGGATGTGACTGGGCCAGGGTGGGGCTTGTGACTGGACCAGGAGGGTGGGGCTGTGACTGGACCAGGAGGTGGGGCTGTGACTGAGCCAGAGGGGTGGGGCTATGGGGCTGACTGGACCAGGAGGTGGGGATGTGACTGGGCCAGTGGGTGGGGCTGTGGGGCTGTGACTGGACCAGGAGGTGGGGCTGTGACTGAGCCAGGGGGTGGAGATGTGGGGAGGTGTGGGGCTGTGGGACTGGACGGAGCCTGTGGGGATGTTGGGCTGGGGGGTGTGACTAGGCCAGTGGGTGGAGCTGTGGGGCTGTGGGCTGACTGGACCAGGTGGGATGTGACTGGGCCAGTGGGTGGGGCTGTGACTGGACCAGGAGGTGGGGCTGTGACTGAGCCAGGGGGTGGGGATGTGGGGTGTGACTAGGCCAGTGGGTGGAGCTGTGGGGCTGTGACTGTACCAGGAGGTGGGGCTGTGACTGAGCCAGGAGGGTGGGGCTGTGGGGCTGACTGGGCCAGGAGGTGTGCCTGTGGGGTGTGACTGGGCCAGTGGGTGGGGTGGTGGGGCTGCCTACCCTGGTCCTTCTGCTGATGTTAAGGTGGTTGCAGGCCTTCTGGTACAACGATTCCAGCATGTCCCTGTCCCAGTAGAAGTCTGGCGTATCCAGCAGGTCAGAACTCAGATTTATCACATGCCTGGACAAAACATGGACAATCAACATAAAATGTATACAGCTCTGGATTGACCAGTGGTGTTCAGATGATCAAAAATAATAAAAAATCGATCGAAAGAAGGACTAAAAATAATTATCGATTGTAAAAAATATATTTGTGATTAAACGGAATGTTGTTGATTTAGTATTACAAACTTGAATGAAGTAAACTAACCAATAAATTACTTTCATTGTTTAATTACAATTTCAGTGTCTTTCTTGCATGCATGCATTTCATTACATGACAGTATTAGTTATAAAAAACATTAATTAGAAAAAGACTGGGGAAAACCCCTTAAAATTGGTGATTACATTAAAAATGTATATATTTCGATTATAGTCGATAATCGTTCACCACAAGTCCTCCGATAATCGATAGTGGATTTGGTTTCGGATTCCCAACACTAGGATTGACATACATTGCAAAAATTCTTCTGGACTTTGTACTATTATGTTGTGTCACCCCACTAACTTTTTTACCAGACTCTTTATATACATAATCAAATTTGGATCCTACAATTCATTAATTAAAATCATGAGCCTTGATCTAGAAAATACAATACAAAGACATGCAACAACCATCAAAAATCAAATCAAATCAAACTAGACATTTGCATAGCACTACATATCCAGAGTCCTGCTCATGTGTGCTTAGTCGAATGCTTGTTTGAAGAGGATGGTTTTGAGACAAGATCGGAAACTGTTGATATTTTCCGATTTTCTGACATTTTCATATCCTTCCATTTTCAGGACTTGCTTCGAATGATTGATCGTTGGGGATTGTGAAGATTTGTGGAGCAGAGTAAACCAACATGGTCGGAATGAACAGAATGGTCATAGATGAAATCATAAACATTTATTTCATTGGCCCTTGTAATTAACCTGTTTATAAGATCCGCGATGTCTGACACGATGAAGTTCTGCGAAGTTAACCAGCTCGAAATAACCACTAGCCCGTAGCCCGATGCTAGGTAAAACTTCGGGCCTAGTAAATAAAGAATGCCGGTAGCCCGGTTTGCTAGTGTAAATTTCAGTCTGTGAAATATTCTCTTCATGGCCTTTTATTAAAAGTTCCTACTTCTTTAGTAAGTATTGTTTTGTTTTCAAAACAACAATTCCTGAGCTTAGTGAAACTACACCTGAAGCTGAAATCCTAACCTGTTTCTAAGACGCATCATGATTAGTCAGTGTTAAGAAATAAACACCATAATCATAATCAAAATATAAACAAAATAGCCAACGCATCCTTCATCATTTGTAAATCCTTCATGTAAACAAACATGCTGAAACAGCAGGCAGATATTAAGAAGGCAAAATTCCTGATTGCTAAGCAAAGGCTTGAAGAAAAAGAGAATCTGATAAGAATCTGAAAAATTGAAGCTGAAAGAAATTTTATATCGAAATGGTCTGCCGAGTTCAATTGGCTGATTTCAGACAAATCAAAGATGTTCTGTAATGTGATGATGATCTCATTAACCTGGTCAGTCAGACCTTGAGTCATAGAAAATAAAGAGTGCTTAACTTGACTGTCACTGTTTGAATAGTTATAAACCTGAAATTTGTACTGAAATCTGGTGCTGACAATCATGATGGTGCTGACAACTTTGTAATAAATAACTACTTTTGAGAGTTTTGTATCTTTATTTAGTTTGGCTAGTAAATTTTCATTCGGGCTAGTAACTTTTAAAACTTCCATCCCGGTTTGCTAGTGATCCTGAAACATTATTTCATACACTGGTGTTTACCATTATGGAATATCAAACAGTGGATCATCACAGCGTCATCTCGCAATTAAGTTTAACAAATATCGAATAACATAAAAAAATACAAGTACAAAATTATGGTTACCGTAAAGAAAACAGCTCTCCTGTCCTTCGCAGAACTTCACGTCGTGACATGCGGATCTTTTTCCCATCTCTCAAGTCCTGTGATGTAAACGTTACATGTATGTATTCACAAATGTATTCACAGATGTACTCACAAATGTATTCATTGATGTATTCTCAAATGTATTCATGGATGTATTCCCAGATGTACTCACAAATGTATTCATGGATGTAGTAAAAAATATACTCGTTTATGTTTTCATAGATCTATTACAGATGTCTTCATTGACATATACCCATATGTACTGACATATGGCGCAGGAACTAACTTGTACACACCTGTGGAGTTTCAAGATTATGTATAAGGGGCTCAACTCCCTCAAAATGTCCCAGTTCCCATTTCCAGTCTATAGGCATAATCATGCAAGGCCTACATGTGAAACTGAGACATTGAATAACTGTCAAGTTAACTGTTCGATGGAAATACCAATATATAAGTGGGTTTCCCTTTGTTTAAATCAACTTTTTCAAATCAATGTCATATTAGACTGGGAAGTCAAAGTTAATGCTGGATCCAAATATCGGGACCTTCTACAGCAAGGTAGTTAGATCTTCAAGAAGAGAGGTACCATATTGGAGAAGTGCACGTGAGCACATACTAATATTTTATAGCGCCAATATCCATCTCAGCTGCTTAAAGGCAATTTGTTTTTCCCTCGATCATTGGATGTCCATCTCAACGGCACATCATATTTTTTTATCTCAACTCCCTGGGGAACATACAACTCTTGCAGCCATTTAGGCGCACCAAGTTAATGTGGCTTTCCCAACCCTTATGAGATCTCACTATTAAGAGATTGGATACTGAAAGTCACTGAAATGACACTGGTAATTGGAGCCAGAGAAAGACTTACCTCTGTGACTGGCTCTATGAGGTCCACAAACTTCTCCAGAGTTGCCTCCCACACACCCAGGTTCACTGGAGGAACACAACATCATAATCATCATAATCATTAACTTGATGAAACTCTATCTTCTTGTGTCGCTAATAGTCACCAATTCTTGATCTAATTACCCAAGTTCTGGTGTGTAAATGTAGTGAAAGCTCTCAAATAAAAAATCAAATCAAATTAGACATTTGTATAGCGCTACATATCCAGAGTCCTGCTCATGTGCTCTTAGTCGAATGCTCGTTTGAAGAGGATGGTTTTGAGACAAGATCGGAAACTGTTGATATTTTCCGATTTTCTGACATTTTCATAAGCTCTATTATCAATGTTGGGCTGTGAGACTTAGTTTGCCATAAAATGGTTTCATATGCCAAGAATCAGTCATGTCACTTGTAACAAGAAGATACGAGACCTTCACCATAAGAATTGTGGAATATTGCTGAGTGTGGCGTACAACTATACTCACTCACTCATAAAAATTGTGACCCCTACATCTTTACATTATTTTAAATTTGACTACCTCTTATAATGGTGGATGCCAGAAACCACACATGAAATGTTGTATCTATTTCTGTTTACAGGCACATAATCGACCAAAGTCTGCACAAACAGCATTTGAAATTCCCAGTGTAATTACAGTTATGCTGCAGCAGAGGTGTGACTGTGACAGTTTCCCTGTTATATCAGCTTGATGTGGAAGGAACACCAGATCTCACATGGTTACCACTTTGGTGAAAACCATGAGCATGGACAAGGTGCTGACTAACCTAGAAACAACCAGGATTCAAACCCACACAATCCCATGTTTCTTGCATGACAAAGGGACACAACTCCACACAGCAAATAGCTGTATCTTACTTGACTGAGCCAACCCTGCCCCCACACCCCAGTGTTGGAGAGTTGGAGAAGTGTACCAGTTGTGCTATGACTGATATCCCCTTACCAGCCTGAGACAGGGCATTGGAGAAGGTGTACTTCTCCAGAATCTGGTGACCCTCCTCTTCCTCCTTCTCCTGAATGTTGATCAACTCACCAACAAGGTTTGTTGCCTCACTGAAAAAATATGCCTAAATAATTTTTTCTACCATGCATCAATATTCAATTCTGATTCAAATCATGGATTCTAATTTAATCGGGTTTCAAATCATATTAACAACCTCTGAGACTCGCTGTCTTGGTTAATGTCATTGTATCCAAATTGCATAGATCGATGCTCATGATTTTGATCACTGGATTGTCTGGTCCAGACTAGATGATTTACAGACCACCACCATATAGCTGGAATATTGCTGAGTGCAACGTTAAAATCAACAGCGCAAAAGAAACAACACAAATTATCTCCCTTCTTTATCCAATCAGAACACCTGTTACATCATTTTCAACTTGACTCAACATTAAAATGTCCCACAAATGCTCCCCATCAGTGAGGACAACCATCATAGGACAAGAGTTAATTGGCTCAGCTTGTCCGTTGTCAACGAGGGCGATGGAGACTGATCTGATCCGCATAAATAACTGAGTTCTGTCTAGAAGAAAACATTCAAGGCATTATTAACAGAACTTTAGTTTTATGTATACAAATTACCAGGTGTTCCTTTTGAAAAAATAATACCTCTTGAACCACTGTATCCATGTGGGGAATCAAAATCTGGGTTTTCTCCATTATTTGTTCATAACTAACAAAACAAACATTCAATGGTCTGTGGTCACTGGTCAAAGGTGTCCAAGGCCAACTACATGACCATCCCATTACCAACCTTGTCATGATAAACGGCATGTCCTCCATTTCATGCATGACGATACTCCGGTCATACGGAGCCTCACAGTGCCTCATGAGGAACTTCAGCACTTCACTTCTCTGCACAGAACAACAAGGTCTTGCACAATTATCATGGCAACTGGATCATAACTGATCAGGTAGCATCAACCAAGGTGTCCTTAGCATCGCTTTAGTTTAAAACTTTAAGACTCAAGGGCCCCTCCATTAAATAATCACAAAATGAGTGAGTGAATGAGCTTAGCTTTATGCCACTCTTAGCAGTATTACAGCAATATCACAGCAGGGGACACCAATAATGGGATTCACACATAGTACCCATGTACGGAATGTAAGCCAAGTCTTCAGCATGACAAGTGAATGCTTTAACCACTAGACTACCCCTCCGCACCTAAAATATCACAAAAGAAAACTCCAGATCACCACTGCACAACCACTCTTAGCACTAAGTGTGTCCTATGTCTATGTTGGAGTACTGGTATGAGTGTTACGATCATCTTTGTGCCAAGGTCGCTTTGTGCAAGCGGGCATTGCGACCCAGTAGCCCCCCTTAATTTCATACTAGCTAACTGTACTGTTATGGTACACTTCGCTGGACATCACACATATCTTGATAGCATGATACAATCTAGTACATGAAAGTTATACATCTGTTTTAACAGAGATATTAAATAATATAATTAAATGAGTTCTCACGACAAATGTCCAAGGCCAAATACATGTATAACATGTACATGACTTCCATTACTGAGAAGTGCAATCCCAAGATAACAGATGTTGCATTTGACCCTCTCTGAAAGGCATTGTGTTTTTATATTGTACTAATGACCTGACATGACCTGGCATGGGCATGACTAAGGTACTAAGGCCTCTCTACCAAGGTTGAGTATTACTGTGATCATACTGACAACTACATACCTCAACTTCTGGAGTATTCCAAAATACCACAGATCCTTCCCTAGAGAAAACAAAAACTTTGAATTATCACATTTCATATTCTTCATCCACATGGGTTTAATTCTCCACATGGTTAATTAAGTTAAATAACTTTTGATGAAATTACCATGCATTTCACTTGTTCATACGAATGGAATATTGTATAAAATATCAGTATGATTCTGCTTAAATATTAACGGTAGGCACTCTGTATAATTTAAGCCATATTTTGCAAGGAGGGTTAGAAAGTTTCAACAGCAACACATCTTTGTGCAGAGTAAGGCTGAACATGGCAAGGAAGACTAGAAAAGGGATTTCACACATTATCATGAAATAGTTAGCATAATGAGCAAAAGCCTCGACCAGTAGTCCATCTTCAATGTGGAGAATGCACTGCTTGAATGCAAGGGAGAAGGTAGGAACCCCTGCAATTCTGTGCACCCAAATATATCCCTGTGAGGACTCTGGGTTAAAATAATCAAACTGATTTAGATCATGAACAACAATGCAAGCGACCCAGTTTTGTTTGGTCATTAAACATAATGAGTGAGTGAGTTTAGTTTTACGCCACACTCAGCAATATTCCAGCTATATGGCGGCAGTCTGTAAATAATTGAGTCTGGACCAGACAATCCAGGGATCAACAGCATGAGCATCGATCTATGCAATTGGGAACCGATGACATGTGTCAACAAAGTCAGTGAGCCTGACCACCCGATCCCGTTAGTTGCCTCTTACGACAGGCATGGGTTACTGAAGATCAATATACTAACCCGGACCTTAAAGGGTCATTAAACAAAATAACAAAACAAGGTTAAAATAGGTTGCTGGCATTGTTGTCCATGATATAAATCTGATTACAGGACACCAACCTGCAGCTGGAATGTGATTTTGAATGGATACACTTGTAAGATACTTGTAACTTCTTGTTAAATTGCAAGACTGTTTTGTCATTGATTTTCTAATGGAGTATGGAAACTTACTTGAAGAAAAACATTTCTCTAAGTTCTTCATCCACCTTGTACTTGGCCTTTGCATACAGGCCTCCTGTCACATCTGTGGACAAGAAGAGACAGCCAGTAATCAAAACTGGAGCTTGGTTGAGGAGATAGTTAAAATTAAATGATTTTTGTACTGGTATAAGCTGCTCCTTTGAAGAGTAATGTTTCTTTAGAATACACAATGCTGTTTAGAAAATGGTCAAATGTAACATATGTAAATTTACACTTGTCAGAGGGTGACACAAAATATGTGATCAAGACTACCAGTTGTCTGTCCATTTTTGTGGTAGCAATGATGGCTGAGTGGCTTAGATTGCTGAGTTTGTGTGCTGGCCATTAGGTGCCTGACTTTGAGAGTGTGGTTTTGAATCCCAGATGGGGCTCAACGCAAAATGTACTAGAATCTGTACTTTACTGAGAAAGTGTAATCTCAAATATAACATCTGTTATAATTATTCAGATTCCAGTGGCTCTTCAGCAATCCTTTGAAAAGGGATAAGGTAGCCCACTAGCACGCAATTTAAGCTGGATACAGCGTAGGAATCTCCATCTGAACATTGAAGTTGTGCAATAATACAAAGTTCTTATCCATAAAGTTATATGGTTCGTTATTTACTCACCAACCTTTAGAATGCCAGTCAAACAATTATCATGCTTATCGGGGATACAATATGGAGATAGGAGCACCAATATTGCTCATAAATGGTGTGTTATTTGCCTACTTCAGGGGTGTTGTAGAAATCTGAATCACTGAAAGTGTCTCACCGACAGGGAGTTCGTGTATCACATACAATCCTTGAGCTTCTAGGGCTTTCCTCAGCTGACTTAAGTTCAACTCTTCAGCCATGGCATATGCTGTCACCATCATCTTGCCATCCTATAACACGGATGACCACATTCAGATAACTTTGTGAGTGAATTATTATCAAGAGGTAAATTTTAAAAGTATTTTTCTGTGAGCAATTATCTTTTTTTTCTATAAAATGACACATACAGTGGAAACCGCCTAAGTAAAGACCGTTTAACTAAACAGACCTGATAAGTAAACACTTTTCTTTGGTCCCAGCAAATTTCTGCATTAATTAATTATCACTATTAGAGTCCGGTTAACTGAACTCGGATAAGTAAATACCCCTTAACTAACGTCTTCTCACGGTCCCTGGAAGTAAATTACTTAACAAAAGAGACTGGATAACTAAATTAGCGATCACCACATAATCTGACATGAGGGGCAGTCGTGTCAGTCTCCAGTCAAACAAACATCCTACTTACAGATCGCTGCGTCAAGCAGTTGACAATACACTGACAACTGGAGGCCAGCCCTGATAAGTTGTTCATTGTTATTGTTACATATGCATACATATACATGCATATGGTTGCCATTTGCAGGTTTTTATAAGTTTGGATAAGTAAAATACCTGATAAGTAAACAATTTTGGCGAGTCCCTTGAAATTTTACTTATCAGGTTTCCACTGTAGTAACCTTGGCAGAATACTGGGTTCTAATCCCACAATTGCCCTCAGTATGATCCTCATTATCCTTGACTTATGCTTAGTCTCTGGAACAACCACTGAGAAGACCCAGTGCCACGACATAGCTGTCAGTGCTGGACGGAGGGAAAATAAAATGATACAAGACAAATCTTATGGATAACAACTTCTTGATTTATTTTACACGTTTCTGGGCTAGTTCTTGCCCCATCTTCAGGTGGATCAGCCCAGAAATGTTGTGAAAAATACATCAAGAAGTTGTTATCTATAAGATTTGTCTTGTATTACTACACCAACTTCTATATGCCCTTGAAGAATGAAAACAAAATGGTCCAGGGATTGTTCAACAGACTGCTTATTACCAATGTTTATGATAAAAACCAACTTCCAAATGTGTCACTGTGGGCTTTCCTCCCACATGGAAATGAGTGAGTGAGTGCAGTTTTACCCTGCTTGTAACAATATACCTGCAATATCAGGGAACATCAGAAATGGTCTTAAGTACTTTACACGTTGTATCCATGTGACTGACTGACTGACTGAGTTTGGTTTTACGTAGCTTTTAGCAATATTCCAGCAACATCACGGCGGGGGACACCAGAAATGGGCTTCACACATTTTACCCATGTGGGGATTCGAACCCGGGTCTTCGCCGTGACGAGCCAACGCTTTAACCACTAGGCTACCCCACCGCCCGTTGTATCCATGAGGGGAATGGAACCCAGTTCTGAAGCGGACGAGTGAACAATTTAACGAGCTTACCAAACCATAACTTGACAACCTTTGCTATAACTAAAATACACATGTACTGTTCAAAGCATAAACCAAGTTCAATGGTTAATCCTTGTATATCAGTTATATACTTGACTCCCATGATATGAAGATACAATGACAGTCAAAATATGGGGTTTGTTGTGAAAAAAATAATACCTCAAAAAAGGAAAACCAAAAACATATTTACCTTAGCTTCTTTAGAAGGAGTTACTTTTTTTCTAGCTGGTCTCTTGGCAACCAGGCCAGTCACAGCTTTTTGAATGCCAGCACTTGTCACATAAGAACGAGTCAGGCCTGTTGACAGACTCATTGGTAATATGCCATAGGAAAAATTAGGATATGACTTTTTTATGAAAATCTTGCCAGATGTAAGGAGTCTGGTCTTTGAAGAAACATGGACCACTTGTATTTGGTGAATGGATTTTGGTGGATAAAACTTGTTGGATGATGAATTGCTGAAGTATCTCATGAAAGATATACTCTTCCAAGATTCTCTCAAACACCTTGGGCACATCCTTCCAAATGCTAAAAATTTAGTTCCTTTTCCAAAAACTGGTGACAGCATCTTGTGTTCAATGTTGTACACTGAAATATATTAAGGATATCACATACATAATATACAGGCACATGGAAAGGTTCATTTGTTATCACAGTCTTTACTACAAGTTGTTGATCCCTTACTTTGGTCTATTACTCCAATAGTAAAATTACAATGGACCTATGCACAAATATGATCATGCATAGTCTTTGCATTTAAATAGACAATGCTTCTATTGGTCATTTTCATTTACTTATCTTGAGAATATAGTTGCTATTGAGTCAAGTTCTATTGTATTTGCCATTGTAGTGCATGTAGCTGAGACCTTGCTACATTCTGCAAATCGGAAACCATAAGAATTTCTTTATTTTGGAACTTTGTGACTCACTGAATCAAACACATGAAATGGAGACTATGCCCCGAAGTGTTGCCTGTTTCAAGGCTATATGTGGAAATTAGTGACTATTGTGAAATTGTTACATTATCTCAGTGTGGTTAGAATAACATTAAACCATTAGATTTATTCGCAAGGTTGCCGTGGAGATCTGGGTTGAATTGGTCTTCAGCAACCCAAACTTGTCGTAAGGGTCGACTAATGGGCTAGTCAGGCTGGCTGACTAGGTTGACACATGTCATCGCATCCTACTCCTAGTTGGGTAGATCGATGCTCGTGCTGTTGATTACTGGATTGTCTGGCCCTGACAAGGTATGGGTGCTATCTTTGGGATGACTCCTAACCCAGCTACATCAAAATTGCTCAAAATTGCTCTATCTGTATTTCCATCCGACTCCGAGCATGATTGATAACGAATATGTAAAACATACGAAAGTGCACTGACTGCATGATAATTTCGGAACTTTGCAAATGCAAATACTGTAATATATACACAGATATACAACAACCTTCCAATTAAATTCGTCCGCGTGGATCCCAACGTTCGAGAAGCTGCTGGAAACGACTGGAGCAGATGTTGCAATCACAACATGCATCGTCTGCTGTAAGCTGACATCTTGGTTAATCAAATTTTAGAAGTGTAAAACAAATGAATACAGATTTTAGTTTTCTTTCTGAAGCTATTATTTTTTCATTTATTGATTTTTAGGCAAATCAAACAATATATAAACCTTTCCTCCACATGATTCGATAAAATTTTAATAGAGGTATTTCAAAAGTTATCAAGTATGATGTACTAATCATAACCTTGCCCTGCCCCAACCTTCAGGGCTTGAACATTCACTTCAAGTAATCATTGTGCCTTTTGTGGACTTTGGAATATCCATGGGCTTTGTTCCTTTTTGGGTTTTTTTCCTTATTAAAAGGAATAAAGTTAATACACGTGCAGGCAAGGCGTCCAAGATAATTTGACCTTTGCTTGGTTGCTTAATTGTAGAATCACAGAAATAACTAGTTGCTCGAAGAAATAACTATAAAACATATGGTAGTGCCAGTTTTGACACTCGTGATATTTATTTTTGAAATGGAGATGGGCTTGTATCCAAGACATTTTGGTGCAGTCAAAGACCATATTTTTACAAGCAGACATTGGAAACTGTGACCGGACAGAAAGAGGTGTTCGCAATTGCAAATAAACTTCTGTTTAATAAGCAAAAATGTGCAACACTCCCTTCTCATTCGTCTGTGGTTGAACTCGCCAACCGGTTCTCCACATTCTTCTGAGAAGATAGCAGGAATCAGGCAATCTTTCGCTTCAACAGATGGTCACATCCAGGGATCAGCAAACTACACCTTTCAACCCCTCTCGAAATTCAAACCAGCAACTGAAGAAGAAGTATTCAACCTTGTAATGAAGTCACCAACCAAATCATGCAGGCTAGATCCAATTCCAACATGGCTCTTAAAGAAAACTTTGGTCTCGTCGTTGCCAGTGCTGACACATATTGTCAATACATCTCTACGTGAAGGTGTTATGCCAGAACAGCTGAAGCGTGCAGCTATCACTCCTCTCCTTAAGAAGAAGAGCTTAGATCCTGAACAACTTAAAAACTATAGACCGGTATCGAACCTGACATTTGTCTCAAAGCTGATAGAGCGTGCAGTTGTTACAAGACTCAAGTATCACCTTTCCCTAAATGATTTCCAGGAAGAATTTCAATCTGCTTATCGTAACTTCCACATCACAGAAACAGCATTGACAAAGGTTCAGAATGATCTTCTCATAGGAATAGATCAGGATGGGGCTGCTATTCTAGTGCTACTAGATCTCTATGCTGCTGTCGATACCATCGACCACAGGATACTCCTTTCAACTTTGGAAGGTACGTTTGGCATCAATGGAGTCGCATTGAAATGGCTGGAATCTTACATATCTGGAAGACAACAGACCGTCATGATAGATGGAGAGATGTCAACTGCCAAGGACCTTACATATGGTGTCCCACGGGGATCCGTACTAGGTCCTCTCCTCTTCACAATCGACACTTCCTCTCTTGGTGCTATTGTGAGATCTTACAAGCTGGGCCTGCACTTGTATGCTGATGACACACAGGTTTACATGGCATTTAAACCACTGGTCACTCAGTCAAACTCACATTTGAGTCAGGTCAGTAGTGCGTCGGTAGCCTCAAGACATGGATGACTTCTAACTTCCTGAAACTGAATGAGGAAAAAACAGAGCTTCTAGTATTCTGTTCCAAACGAAGTATAAATTCTCTCTCCCTTCCAGAGTTCCGCATTGGTGATTGTGTGCGATCCCTGTAAGCAAGGAAGACCGGAATCTAGGTGTGATATTCGACTCGTGCCTGGACATGGAGTCGCATATTAATAGCGTCTGCAGGCGTGTGTACTTTCCATATTCACAACATCAGCATGATCAGGAGGTATCTCGATGTCAAGACCACCTCAGCTCTTATCCAAGCCTTCATCACGTCGAGACTGCAACTCGCTGCTGTTTGGAACATCTGAGCATCTATACTTGGCAAGCTTCAGCGTGTGCAGAACACTGCTGCGTGGGTGATAGCCCGTCACCAGAAATACGACCACATCACCCCTGTACTCCACCGTCTACACTGGTTGCCAGTCAGATACAGGATCCAGTACAAAGTACTGTTGTTAGTGTTCAAGTGTGTGAATGGACTTGCCCCCAGATACCTTTCAAATCTTCTTAAAAAACACTACCCTCCCAGATCCTTACGGTCTGGTTCCCAGTATTTCCTGGACGTACCAACTACCCGAACAAAGACATTTGGCGACCGTTCATTCGCAAAAGCCGGTCCAGTAATGTGGAACAATCTACCTATGCACCTGAGATCGCAAGAGAATCTACCAGCATTTAAGTCACAACTGAAAACTCATTTGCTCAGTACTGCCTACCGAACTTGACCCATGTCTTTCCAGACTCATTTCCAGCGCTTTTGAGTGGCACATGTCAGAAACTAGCGCTATATAAATATTTGTATGTATGTATGGTATAACCGGTTAATGGTCGTGGAATTTTTCGACTATTTACACATTCTCTGATCAATGCATTAGACCAGAAAAAATATTCAACCATTTACCGGGCGCGTGTAATGGATAGATGTGCGACCTCAATAAACAGCGGCAACTTGAATTAACATATTTAGCCACTTATTTGATATTCAAAACTTAACACGTGAACCAGTATATTGATTTCAGGTTTGATTTCGTTTCTACTGGTCAATACATGTTTTGTATTTACCACTGAGCGCATGCGTAAGACACATCATTAATTCCGCTTCCTGCAGAAGAAGCCGTGACAAATGTTGTTGATGATGTAGAATTATTGTAGAATTTACCGGTTAACAATGAGTGGCACAACTGAAACACCAAACACAGGAGGTGGTGGGGCAGGCTCCTCTAATCAAAATGAAGATAATGATGGTTCTGTTTACGAGTGCAACATATGCCTGGACACTGCCCACGACCCAGTTGTCAGTATGTGCGGTCATTTATTTTGGTACGTATGTTGTTTTGTATTCCGTAAAAAGAAACCAAAAATATGGAACGATGTATCCCGTTACTAAAATATGAATAGCGTCAAGTCCTAAAATGTTTGATCACAAGTGCCATATTTTGTAGCTCAGCTGAAACAAGTCCCCAAATCTCAGCTTACGTTAGTGATAGCTAAGACGCAACACATAGTCATTCAGCTTCAATGGCTTACTTCCTATATTTTATTATCATTCATGTAATGTAATATATTTATCAAACAGGTGTCTCAATGTATCATATCCTTGGCGTAATGTTTGTGATCATATGGAGAGGAAGTCACCAGCTTTTTATGTCAAGTGACACTTATTGATTTTTTCCCCCCAGTTGGGCGTGTCTCCACCAGTGGATAGAAACACGCCCGAATCGGCAGACCTGCCCTGTTTGTAAGGCAGGAATAAGTAAAGACAAAGTTATTCCTATTTATGGAAGAGGAAACCCAAATCCACAGGATCCCAGGTATGAAGCATGTTTTAGTTGGAAAAGTCAAGGGAATGATTACTCTTTACATTGATAGCTAGTTAAGCATGTCAAGGGTCTTTATGTCATAGATATGTGTTCATGGCTGAAATTTTCAGGACCTACCTATATTATGTTTATACTAGCACAGTGGCACGACTATGATGTACAGAATCTAATTAACTCCATATGTTGCTAAGGTTTCATTTATCTGGCTTCACACTTACGTGAGTTGTTATCATGGTTGTCACACTCGGAGTTTTTACAGTTTAGTTCCAATAGATAAAACCAATACTGTCTTTAGCCTTACTGTAAATCAAGCACCTTTTCATGATCGTTAGAAATAGATACCACTTCCAATCCAAGGGTTGGTTGCAAGTTAGGGTTATCTCTCTTCAAAAATGCTTCCAAGTGTAATCTTAGGTTTATCCAGGTTTGAAATTAAGCACGGAAAGTCAAGGAATCCTTGTCATGAACTTCTCATGCTAAAAGAAATACATTGATTGGGGTACAGGTTAAAACCATTAATCCCTGAGATGCTTGTTAATTTCTAACACTAACAGTGCTTATTTTTCATCATCTCAATCTTTGGTGCTGTTATGAATGTATGAGTGTGTTGAACTATGACTATTTACAGGGAGAAGCTTCCCCCACGCCCACCTGGTCAGCGGTCAGAACCAGAAGGATCAGGGGTAGGTTTGTTTGTTGTTTAATCCTGCAATCAGCAATATTCCAGTTTTATGGCAGTGGTCTGTAAATAATCAAGTCTGGACCAGACAATCCAGTGATCAACAGCATGAGCATTGATCTACCCAACTGGGATGGGATGACGTGTCAACCAAGTCAGTCAGCTTGACCAGCCCATTAGTCGACTCTTAACGACACAAGTATGGTTTGTTGAAGATCAATTTAACCCAGATCTTCACAAGTTCTGGGGTAGGTGGTTATTTATCATGTCATAGGTATTTCATTTTATTGTGGGGGTCCTTGGGACTCAAAGACCTGAATTGTAGGGGTTTCAAGCTAGAAATATGAGGCCCCAGAGATATACCGTATACCGGGAAATTTTCAAGGTATTAAAATTTCGAGGTTTTAGACCCCCAGAGCTTTCGAGGTGATTTAAATTTCGAGGTTTGGGGACCTAAAATATGTAAATATTTTAGACAATGTTAATTTCGAGGTTAGAAGAAAGTGGCCAGAAACGTCACTTAACGGACCAATACTCACTGAGCTATCGGCAAAACTCCCAGTAGCCAGTGATAACTGCTGTCTGACTGTTATAACAACTGGTATACCAGTCCATGACAGCAATAATAGTAATGAAAACAAACGTTTGATCCTTTGTTATAATAAATGGCCCACCTAAACTTCTCTGATTGCAGAGTTCAAACATGACGCCATTTTTCTCAGACGATATTGTTTTCTTAACAACCAATTATAAGCATGGGTCTCTGCTGAAACTATGTTGTTGTTAGAAAGCTGAGAAGTTGAACTCTTTGTTTACGATAGTTTATACATGTAAGTAGCTTGACTCAAACGTACCATCGCATCGAATAAAAGTTTGTTTCAGTCGATGTCGTTACATTTTGACGAGACAAAATGAGTCTAATAGCGTGGTTGTTGACAGGCATTACGGAGTTAATGCGCATGTCAGGAAGTCATTGTTTGCCAGCAGTTGAAATGCTTATCGATAGGAAATCCCCAAAGGTACGGTTCAAAAAATGTTGTGGTATAATATTTTAGAGGTTGCGTTTCTAACCTCGAAAACCTCGAAAATTAGATACCTCGAAAATTTCCCGGTATACGGTATCAAATTGAGCAGAGTACACTACCACAAGTGACATGAGATTGTGAATGCCCATGAGTCATGATATAAAACTGGATGTAGAGTGTCAGAGCTGAAACGAACCAACACATGCTGATGCTCAAAGACTACAAAGCATTTGACTTGTGTATTGTAAGTTTGAAGTGATTGTGCACAGAAGTAAAATTTAAGTGATACCAAATCATCGGTGACCATGATTGCTGTGATTATGAAAAAGCAGTTTTCATTTTCCAAATGACATTATGCATTCATACTGTGTGAACCTGTTGTTAATGTCTCCCTGATGTGGATGGATGAATGGCAAGTATGACAGATGAGGATATTGGAAGAGGCAGGTGCTTGGAGTCCCATGCTAACAGTGAGAGTCAAGTCTGACCACCAAATCCACTGAGCTGCCTTATGAGACAAATAAATCAATAGAGATTTAGGATGAATGTTAACCTAGAATGTGTGAAGCCCATTTCTGGTGTCCCCTGCCATAATATTGCTAAAATGATATGAAAGCAAGCTCACTCACACTGTCTTTGAAGACATCATGTACCCAGTACATATAGTACAACCTTGTTCGACTTGTCAGTAATATATCTTCCTGTTCTTTTGTTTCAGGGATTTGGTGGCTTTGGCCTCGGTGATGGAGGATTTCAGTTCTCATTTGGTATTGGTGCCTTTCCCTTTGGCATTTTTGCCTCAACCTTTAACTTCAATGATGGCCGACCTGGTCCCCGTGAGTATTACCATCATGTACAGATGCTTGTAAGCAGGTGTTTATCTCCATTCATATTACTGTGGCTAGTTTGTTTTAATGATTCAGCAATGTATCCTCTGTATGTTGGGAACCCAGTCAACTAAGGAGGAACCGTTTGCCCTGCAGAGTTAAACTAAAGCATGTAAATATTCCTGGTTCAAATTGGTCCTGAGTGTATCTTTGACATGACATGGTCGATTGCATGCCATCTTACCCAACATTGTGGATTGTTGTTTACAATAATGATCAGCCAGAGTTTTGCTCTGTAGTTTAAACAACAAACACCATGAAAACACAACCCATGGTGTTAAAAATGTGGAAATAAAATCTATTAAAGTGTACTTAAAAACAGAATATTAATTACTCACAATAGTGTCCCAATTTATTATCAAATTTATGCCTTTTTCATATGCTGTATGTGTTTCTTTTCAGCAACAGCCAACTCCCCACAGCATGCAGAAGAACAGTTCCTGTCGAGAGTTTTCCTGTGGGTGGCCATTGTATTTATTGTGTGGCTCTTACTGGCTTGATTTTGACACTGGGTCACACAAAACTGAATGTAAATTAAAATCTTCAAACATCACAGAATATGGAACATTGTAAGCAGGAACATTTATCTGTGAAAATGATGAGCGCATTGATAATTGACATATAACACTTCAGGCATTATTGTTGTAACATATTTATAGTTGAGGGATCTGTCACATCCTCCGAATTTGAAGGGGACACATTCCAGCAATCCGAAACTAACCCCAAGATCCATTCCCTTGGGTTCTTGTGACTTCAAATTACCTGCCTTGAATTTCATTAGCCACTTTAATTTGCTACACTACTCAGTCCATCAGAGTGTAAGTAACGACCAACCTAAATGTTGGATTCATGGTATTTACAACATGGTGCCCAGTCCCTTTAATCATGATAGAGTTTGGAAACATTGAAAATCAGACTGACACACAACTGAAGGTGCTCAAGAATCTTTTTAATGGAAAGGATGTCTTCAAGTCCATTAACAAATGCAGTGGCTAGTCTTCCTTTGCTGCATGTACCTGTAACACGTTGACTGCCTATCACGGGTATACTTGTATCAATTGTGTTCGAATTTGTCATTACGAGTAAATACCACTGATGTAGCTACAAGATAACTCGTAGTGGCAAATTCGAACAGACATTGATACTACGAGTATACTTGTGGTGGCAATCAACGTGTTAAGTTTCTCACAGATTGATTGGTCATAAAATGTTATTGGAAATCATGGCAGGTAACTTTCAATCACATGAACTACAGGAATGGATCCAGAGATTTGTGTAGCTTTATTGAAATGCAAGCCCTGAGGTAATGAGGATGGATTGATTGGAAAATATTTGTCAATGTTCGAAGAACAAAGGCTGCAGTTACACGATAAACAGGTTGTTTGGTGACGGCGAAGCTGCAAACAAAAGGTTCTTAGTTTCCACGGTTATAACACATTGTTGTGTTAAGATATTTTATCAACAGTACAATCGTGCATTTACATAAAATCTGTTGATAACTGATGCCAAAATCTCATGCATAATTTAAAACCAATTCATAGATGTTTGTGTGGTTGGGTATTTGTGCAAGGTCTGAGTGTGTGTGACTGTATACATGATATAAGGTTGACTGACAGAAGTACTTTTACAATACATTTTCTGTATGAAACAGAAACCTTTCTTCCGATTTATGGGATAAATTGATAATTGTGTTCATATTCTATTGTGGCTTGTATATAGGTAAGGTAACTTATATTCTCAGCAGATTAACCAAAATTATGTTTCTGTAATTACTGTTATTATTACTTTTCTTGTCTTGTCCTTGTTTATTTAGCACTGCAATGACTGGATGGAATGTCAGTATTGTTTTCTGTGGAGGCAGGGTCTATTTTGATGCTTGAGTAAAGGTTCACATTTCCAAACACAATGAGCTCAGTTTATCATTCATATTTATTATGCTTATATATTATGCACTCATTAAGAAACAGCTTCCACTATGAAACTGTTCATGTAATGGGTGGGTTCTGTGGCGGGATAAAGCCAGTGGATGAAACGGTATTCTTTTGGGTCATATGCAGATAACTATGCAAATATTTAATGTCAGATAATGGAAAATACTTCTAGAGTTTCCAAATAAGCACTGCATCATCTTTATCTATTAGCCATTGTGTCCGAGTTAACACAGACCAAGTGACTAATCTTTGGCCATCTGAAGAAATTTTTAATGCCCATACCTTGATGAGAATACTTTTTTAATATGTTTAAAGAATGACATTAAGAGCAAAAGAACACATGGTTGTGTGTTTATTGTTTGTTTTGGATTGTTTTTTTGTATTCTAAACATGACATCACTTGCGTGATAACATCTGTGGACTATATCAATTTTAAATTTAAATGTGGGGAAATTTGTCAGTTCCAATCTGTATGAAGTACTAGTTCCTATTTGCATGACAATATTCAGAAGAAATGAGACAAGTCCCAGTCTACAGCAATTGTGTGTAAGAGTTTAGTTTTACGCCGCTTTTAGCAATATTCCAGAAATATCACAGTGGGGAACACCAGAAATGGGCTTCACACATTGCACCCATGTAGGGAATCGGACCTGGGTCTTCGGCATTACAAGTGAACGCTTTACCCACTAGGCTACCCCACCGCCCCTTTACAGTAATTGGGTAACCCTAGGAAATGATCAGTAGTGAATACTGAAACAAGGCCTTATAGTATTTTTTTTGTTGGTTTAGGAGACAATAAAACCTGAAATATATTTTTCAGTGGTTTATAAAAGTTAGGATGAATGTCCAAGTCATGGCAGTGTCAGCAATGTGCTCTGTTGGATTGTTGATGTAAGTATCATATTGCTGTTATTTTGCACATTGAACATAACCCACTCATTGTAACATGTCACTATCAGCTGTAAACAGTACATGCAATTGTATGCATTTAGGCACGAACTAACACTGAAAAATATAATAGCACATTATTTCATGAGGGACTGGTAATCCCAATTCTGAGTGTCAATGAGCTGTCTTTGTAATGTTACTCAAGATGAAGTGTAATGTTTGTAAATAAAATTACTACTGATGAAACATCTGTTTCTTGACAACTGACTTGATATTGGACAGTTTGGCTCCACGCTGAGCCGAACAAGTTCCAGTTTTATCACAGCGTATCAACTTGATGTCAGAGGAAAGTGAGTGAGTTTAGTTTTACACCACACTCAGCAATATACCAGCTATATGGCGGCAGTCTGTAAATAATCAAGTCTGGACCAGACAATCCAGTGATCAACAGCATGAACATCGATCTGCGCAATTGGGAATCGATGATGTATCAACCAAGTCAGCAAGCCTGACCACCCAATCCCGTTAGTCGCCTCTTACGACAAGCATGGGTTACTGAAGATCAATTCTAACCCGGATCTTCACGGGTGTCAGGGGAAAGCCCAAAGTGATGAATGTGTTTGGGTGTTCTTGTGTGCCAAAGGGATGTAACTCTGCACTCTAATTTTGACCATAAACATGAATCACCTGTCGCCCTGTATCACAATAGCATCCTGAAGCAATCAAAAGGCAGTAGTCGTGCAACAGTGTCAAGTGCAGAAACAGATATTAAAACCTTCAGTGCAGTTCATGTCTTGTAATTTGAATATTAAGATGGTGCACTGGACATGCGGTTGGCATAATCTCCAGATGTTTCAGTTTTATTCACAGAGCACCATTTGTTTGTGATATATCTCTTTCTAGATCAAGGGGCGGTGGGTTAGCCTTGTGGTTATAGAGTTCGTACCTGGGTTCGATTTCCCACATGGGTACAATCTATGAAGACCATTTCTGGTGTCCCAAGCTGTGATTTTGCTGGAATATTGCTAAAAGCAGCGTAAAACTAAACTCACTCTTCTAGATCAGTCATTTTACTGGTGCTGCTTGTCAAGCTGGTCCTTGGATCCAGAACAGGTTGAGATGTTGGTCATGCTATCAACCACCTGTTTGCCTAATTTGCCGGACACAACTGGAATAATGACTCGTGTAAACTGTTTGAAGTTCAAGAATATCATATATCTAAATGTAATCAAACTATAATTACTTGAAGTGATCATATCTAAATTTCTCCTGCATTGGTCCATTTAAGGTGTTCCCCCACCATGACATTGCTGGAATATTACTTAAAGCAATGTAAAGCCTTACTCACTCTTGTGCATTCTTTGTCATAAGTGACATATTCATGCAAAGGCTGATTTCATATCAACAAAACACTATGTAATTCCATGACGCTTTTATTACAGAAAGGGCAACAGTGAACATTCCACTTCTGTAACTTGTTACACATGGCATTTCACTAATATCAATGCTCAGGATAGGAGAACAAGATCTCAGCTTTGGCAGATAGCATGCTTGCCTGTCTACTCAGTGAAAACAAAATGGCTGCATAAGAAAGCTGTGTGTCCTGTAGTTTTGATGTGATTCGTCAAAGAAAACAGTCAGACAAACCAGTTGTCTGGTAGCTGATAGGAAGTCATGTGAACTGACATGCTTGAAGGTTGCAACTCTGCAGAACAACTTTTGACATCTTAAAAGACTTGGCCACCCAATGCCCCGACTCAGCTGAGACAATGGCACAGTTCTGGGCTGTTCAGAACCTGTGTTGTCAGTTCTGCATGTCTTGTCCAACGTTTGCTGTGATCACAAGTGCCTGTTCATACTACAATGTACAATATATATAGTAATATTACAGTGAGAACTTATTCTCCAGAACATGTGACCAACTTTATTCCCAGCTTTGCCATTTTTCAATATAATTTGCAGGCTTTCTCTCATCCCTTTATGAACCTTAAATCAAAGGTGTCTAAACACAGGCTGCCCTTACACTCATGGCAAGCACCTTCAACCTCTGACAACTTGTGTCTGAACAGCCTTTACACTCATGGCAAGCACCTGTAACCTCTGACAACTTGTGTCTGAACAGCCTTTACACTCATGGCAAGCACCTTCAACCTCTGACAACTTGAACTGCCCTTACACTCATGAACTGCCCTTACACTCATGGCAAGCACCTGTAACCTCTGACAACTTGTGTCTGAACTGCCCTTACACTCATGGCAAGCACCTTCAACCTCTGACAACTTGTGTCTGAACTGCCCTTACACTCATGGCAAGCACCTTCAACCTCTGACAACTTGTGTCTGAACTGCCCTTACACTCATGGCAAGCACCTGTAACCTCTGACAACTTGTGTCTGAACTGCCCTGACACGCATGGCAAGCACCTGTAACCTCTGACAACATGTGTCTGAACTGCCTTTACACTTATGGCAAGCACCTTTATCCTACCTCATGTAAGAATGTTCATCCCTGATTGGTTCACATGACCTTGAACAAATTACCATGTATGCCCCGTGCATGGCTGTACACCGCCCAAGCGGGGTATAAATCTTTGTGAAGGAGAATAAACCATTTATACCCCACCCCATGGAAAAAGCATGCATCCACGGCAGTCAGGGCACCGTGAACCAATGGTTTGGATCGACTAGTCAGTACCATGTTAGTAAAATATATGATTGAATTTCAGTTTGTTTTAATGTTATATATTTACATAATGAGAGATTCAAACATTCAGTAAGAAAAATTCATTGTAGCATTATCATCTCAGGGTATACAGGCTTTTATGAGTCCCTCGTTAGGTTTTATCCACCTCACCACCGGCCCGATGGATAAAACCTAACACAGGATGCATAAAACTGTATATCCCACAGGTCTTTGCGAGGATTAAAGATTTAAAAATATATAAAAAATTGAAATGACCCCCTGACTCGAAATGCTTCACACTACAATATATAATGACCATGTCATGATGTGTTGCACTGTGATGCATTTCAGAGTCAATGGTCATCTATAAAAATTATATTTTTAATCTTTAATGCTCGCAGACACTAGGACCTGTGGCATAACCCTCATCCCAATGCTACAAGTTACAGTTATCTCTGACAACAGGTGTTTATGATCACATCCACATTGACACAGGATCAATTCTCTTATGCAGCTGCACAGTGGAAATCTTGCAGTACAATGGCATGTTTATGTATGATGACATGTGTTCACTCAAATTCGAGCATACTCTGAGGGCAGTTACAAGGCAAAGTACAGGTTTTCTGATGGCTTGTATATATCTCAAGGCTAAACTTGTCCAATTAACTCATTTCACATACTGTTCTTGTCAGATCTTTTATTCATATTTAGTTCTATGTGACAAGTTTCCTGTTTCATACACATCATGTATTCTGAGAACAGGAGATAATATAATGATAATGTGTATCGTAACAGCACTCAACAATCTTCAACAAATGAAGGTCAACAGGATCATGAAACTAGTAGGGACTGATTATATTAGCTGATACTATGTGTAGAGGCTAGTTGCCTTAAGATTCAATGGCACTGAATCAGTAACACATCACATAAGAACACAAACAGTAGGTTTAAGATGGAAAATCAAGGAAAAATACACAACACATGACAATCAGCACTGGATAAGTTCTATTTGCTTTTTTCACATGCAATTAAACATAAAAAAAACCTTTATATGAGGAATTCATTTGGCTGTTTTTCATCTTATGACAGAGGGTATTAAACTAGAGAAGATAATACATGATACAAAACACTTGGGAAGCACTGCAACTTTACTTTACAAGTTGCCACTGTAAGCTCTGTACTGGAAGCCATACAAACACCAAGACTCTTGTCATTGAACAAACTTACTAATTCTTTCAGATGATATGTCAGTTGTTGCCCTGAGATGATATTCCACTTTAAAACCACAAACCCACAGAAAGAACAATGCAATTTGTTCCATTCTCCTCTGACAAACATATCTTATGTACAATGAATTTTTTAAATTATGAAATAAAACTCATCATTCTTCAATTCAAGCCATGCAGAAATTCTGGTTAAGCGTATAAACTATGACAAATTTTGGGGAATAAAAATTCATTTAAGATATGTTGGTAGACATGTCAAGGCGGTGAACATCAATAAAATACTCTCTGCAACCAAAGCTTCTGCATATTGTTCTCCCATGGCATGTTTTTAAGAAACTGACTGAACACATCACAGGAATCATTATAATGGTTTGCCGATGCCAGCCATCAATTTGGTAGCACCATGCATGTTAAGTAACAGCTAAACCTTCGATGTTTGAAAATCAAGGGAGCATTGTGGTAATCCTGATGTGAGTTTTCGAGATTTAGTGGTCCCTCAATTCAAATACCAAAGGATCTCAAACCACTTATTATTTTGAACACTGAAATCCCCTCTTGTCTTATGTAACATGAACAGGAAATTTGCATTATAACCTTCTGAAGCAACTGGTGAAATTCCCATGTTGACAGTTACCATGGAGTTGAATTCAATGGCACATTTTACAATCTCTCTATTCAGATGCATTGTTATTTTCAAAGACAAATAAATCTATATGACAGATCACATTTTGCAGGATGAGAAGTCAACTCGTCACACAGACAATGAACCCACTCACCAAGGTGACTTGACCTTAGACTTGACCTAGACCTGGTTACCTGTGGCATTGCCATCACAATCTGTATTGTACAGATGATTGGACTGAAACATCATTGTCACTACTTCACAGATTTGTATGTATTCACAACTCACCTCCATCACCAGTGAATACATAGCATCTACAGTTGATACGAGCTGTAATTGTGGTCTGTATCTAGTCCAAGTCAAGTAATAGAATGAGGCTGTGTCCAACTCATGGAAGTCAATTAAGTTCTACACAGTTGGCAAACTTTGAGCAAACCCTAAAATAATCAACATAGGTTGAAGGAAGTTTTTTCGTTGATAATTACCTCCCTTTAGGAGAGCAAACCAGTAAACAAGATGGCCGATCAATTAGAAACTATCATAGTCAAAGGAACGTGGAGAGAAGACTAGGGCTGTCCATCGACATAGATCAGAGAGATTGACAATCGTTAACTAAATATTGATTGATTATCTATAAATATCATAGAAATAACTTTGAAAAAAAATGTCTGAAAGAAATCACCATACTTCACATCACTGGTGAGTGGTGACTTATTATGAACAAAACAGTGTTCTGAACTTAATTTAGCAGTCCAGAATAAAAATGTAGCTTGGTGTATTGTGTCGGTAAATGTTTCTTTCTATATTTCTTTGCAATAGTTTATGTATGATAATATCGATGACACAATATACATATTGATGACAATCATTGATGATACTTCCTACTGACAATATTTCGGATTATCGATCTTTTTAGCCAGCATTTTGTAGCCAAGATTACTGAAAGCCTGTGGCAGATGTTGCATGGTAAAGATTTGCCACTTCTGAGATGTTCAGAAGATTTTTCAGTTACTGGATCAAAACCGTAGCCTTCTGACATTGTCTAGTGTTTTACAACAGGTAATGGAGTTTTAATCTTTCAGGAAGTTCTTAAATAAGCATCTGCCATCAGTACTGATGGAAGTACCTGCAGTTGCCACAGAATATTGTGGATTATCTTGAAGAAAACACTTTGTAGAAGCTACATATCTTCAATAAATATGGTTCAAAACATCCTTGTCAAATGCTGTCATTTACATATTCAGTAGTTTCTGAGTGGAAAACTAATGACGTCATCATGAAATTCCATTTGGATAATAAGTACAACATAAGAATTAACTGCATGACTTGGGGACAACTTTATTTTAGCGTGTTGTTTCAACAAACAGTTTCTTGCTTCAACTTGTAACATTCCAAGGACAAACAAAACATACATCATTTGGAAGCAGACTGGGTCAGTTTTCAGTCTGTAAAACAAACATGGTTTTAATCTTGTGTGAGTTCATTTACAAGAGGGGCTCTCAGGAAAACTGATGGAGAAGCCTGGGAGCACATGAGGAATCTTATTCAGAAGTATCCAATAGTTTAATTTAATGGTGTGATGAGCAGTATTTGAACAGGGGACACCTGGAAATAGGCTGCGCTCTGTACCCATGTGTGAATCAAACCTATGACTTTTGTGGCAAGCTAACACTTTAACCACTAGGCCACCCCACTGCTTCTGAACGGGTTACTGACACAGTTTCAGTGTGTGAGATTGGTTTAACACCCCTATGAACAGCGTTTAATTTATATCACATCAGGTTCACCTGGGAGAAAGCCATCATGGTGATGTATGTCTTGTACAGTTACCATGGTTATGTTTGTGAAACTGATAATCAATGGTATTGTACTGTCAAGCCAACAAGCCTAATCAGCTGGTAACTGCAATTCATGATCATAAGGATACGAATTGCAATGCCTTTGATGACCATTGACCCAAAGATGATAGGCAAATCCACATGGTTCAAGGTTCCTCAGCATTTATCAAGAAACAACTACAGTCATTAAAATATGAATATTGGCTCTGATGCATGTACTATCCTAAGAACTGACTTAACACAGCATGCCCAGATGCTGTTCTAAACATTTTAATTTAATCAATGCTGCTGTGACTCAAATGCAATATCAACTGAACATACAGTCAGGACAACGGAACAATACAGGAACATGACCATGATGAATGAAAGTGCCGACATGGTGAAATGATTGATGTGTTTGGACATTATGGTATAAACAATGGAAAATATGATAATCAACAAAGACTACAGCACTACTATGCATGCCCTGCAGCCGTTCTTACACCCACATTCTTGACTACTCAGCAGTTTTGATGTTGTCAAAACCTCAGCACAAAACATTGGGCAGATTGCATGACAAATCATAAGTAACATAAAACAAAGAATAAATTATAAATAAAAAGCATAGACAAGAGAAAATACAGGGAACATTACATTAAGATAATGTATGACTGCAAGATTCATGCAGTCCATTCATTGGCAATATTTGATTATTTGTGATCGTAATGTACATGATTCAAGTAACATGTTGTAGCACATTTCTTAACTCCTGTCTTCTGTAAATGAACATCATATTATGATTTTTATACATTGTCCATGACTGTCCACCATTAGAAAATATAGCTGAAATATGCTCAGAGTGTGAACATATCAAAATTGTCTTTCTAACAGCTTCCACACAAACACACATAGCTGCAAGTACAGTGTGAAATTGAACATATATCAATGCCCATATATTTCAGATAAGGTTGTCTCCATCGTCTATACCTCGGTGTCTTGAGTTATCTCCCCTTGAGCTTCATCTTCATTAGTTCTGTGATAATATATGTAACACGGAACACTACAGTCAATAAATACATGTGTCATATCACAATGTATGTTCCCAGTAACAAGATAGTTTTAGATCCTGTAATTCCAGCAGTGTCAACATTGTGATGTCGCACCCTCATGACTTCCATTCGTTGTAACTAGAATCACGGTTCGTGAGCTCTACAACACACAGCATCACTGACGAGGTTGATAAAGAGGTCCTGCCACCTTGTGTCCCACTGATAAACTGCAGCTACCACCACAACCAACCATTACCAATACAGAATTCATAGCTACAGGGATCCTTTATCCACTCAATTCCAACTGACAGTCTGCAAAGAAATCACTCCCCAGCTTTCTGATCCTCTGTACGGTTTCTATCACAAGGTCTCCCACTTTGCTATGAGCAGTGTGGGTGAGGCTTCAGAAACAAATCTTGGCTCACCATCCTGTATATCACAGAAACATGCTGCCAGCTCAATGATTCCTGTAACTAACATTGTTTGAGTCCTGGCAGTGACTGACAGAAAACATCAACTACACGTCACATCAGAAGTAGGCATCGATAATCTGGTGTATAGACTGTGTGACAGTGTAGTCCAGAGGTTTCACTTCCTCCATGTTGTGTGAGTCTCGTATGTGGTTCCATCGCTGTAGGATGTTACTATAATGTAAAGCCAGCTGTTGTTTGCCTACATTGTGGTACAGGCGCAGCAGCCCACGGTAGTCGTATTCCAAACCACTGTAGCCCTCGCCAAATAATTTCTGACCTACAAGCATACAAAACATTTAGTTAACTGAAAACACTCTGGACTGTGATTACAATACCCAAATACTGAATGGGCATGATTACTAAGGAATATTTCACTCCACAAATGTAAAACCTAAAACAGAAATAATGCTAAAGGACACACAAATGAGTATATATAGGCACATCCTGATCAAATCACTGCAGACATAAAAAAGACAAGTGTTTGCCACTGATATGGCAATGTCCCCCGCCGCTAAAAGATTGAATATCTATATTTCCTACTTTTAATTTTTGGTCACATACAAGATGCCTGAAATGACTGGTGTCTGCATAATTACCCAATGTAGGCTGTGAACATACTTGAAAACATTGGGTGCAATGTTTTATGAGATATCGCCTTTAAAAAGCAGTCAAAGTATCGTGGTGACCTTAAAGATAAAGTCAAGGTCACCCAAATAAACTGGTGTTTAGGAATACCCCAATGTAAACTGTCACCAAATTTTAAGACATTGGGTACAACAGTCCATGAGATGCCGTGTTAACAAGAGTTAAAAGTGTGCAAAGTGTCGTGGTGACCTTGACAATAAGGTCAAGGTCACCAAAATAAACTGGTGTCTGCGTAATCCCCCAATGTAGGCTGTCACCAAATTCAAAGACACTGGGTACAACAGTGCATGAGATATCACGTTATCAACAGTTTGAAAAGTGGTCAGTGTCGTGGTGACCTTGAAAATAAGGTCAAGGTCACCCAAATCGACTGATGTCTGCATAATCCCCTAATGTAGGCTGTCACCAAATTTCAAGACATTGGGTACAACAGTTCATGAGATATCACGCTAACAAGAGTTTGAAAAGTGGTCAAAGTGTCGTGGTGACCTTGAAATTAAATGTCAGTGGAACAATATCGGTGTCCATTAGACTCTCAGTGACCTTGGTTAAACACCAGTGTAAACAACACTTCAGTTTAACGCATGTTATATTTGAGATTACACTTTCTCAGTTGAGTACAGATTCCAGTACTTCTTATGGGATCCAAACTCACACTGTCAGTGTAAGGCACCAAATTGCCAGCACAAAGTCAGCCATATAACCTGCTCAGCCACAGTGGCGTCTACAAGAATTGAAGTCGGACAACTGGTAGCAAGATCACATACTTGCTGTACCTCTCTGACAAGGGTAAATTGTTAATGGCTCCCATGGCAGAAAGCTATGAATACACAATGCCTTTAAGAAAGTGGTCAAAATGTAAGGCATGTTATGTTTGGGATTACACTTTCACAGTAAAGTACTTCAATTCGGGTACTTTCTGGGGTTGAGTCCCTTCCTGTGACTCAGTGGAGACATTACTCACAGGTTAAATGAATAAATCATACTCAGGGTTAAATGAATAAATCAATGTAAACTTACAAATTCACAGTAACAATAATCATACACAGTTGTGTCGTTTTTATCAAACAGTGCCTACCTATTGCTATTGAACGTAGATAAAGTTTTTCTGCCTCATCAAATTTCTCCATATCGTAGTTGTACAATGAGGCAAGATGTCCGACAGATAGAGCCACTTCATAGTCCTCAGGCCCCAGCAGTCGTTCTTTGATCTCTATCGCCTTCAGGTGCATCTCTTCCGCTTCCTGCAACACCGCAACATCAACAAATATTGATCACTTGCAAAACACACACGACAAAATAGCTAACTTTACTAGCTTACCAATTACTTGTAATGTACAAAAGAGACAAGCCAAGGAGGTTGCTCTGATATCACAATTAACTATGCCAAATATTGTAGCCGATCCTCATTTCAGGCAGCTTCCAAAAACAAACAGTTTGTAATGCTCTGCCACTGAATCCTCATGATATATGTGTATTGTTCATCAGAGTTGTTTTAGCTGCACACACTTCAGCTGTATAAAGGCAGTCTGCACACAGTTGAGAACCCATGAAGTTCCGGGTAAAAATTGGTCTTCAGCAACCCATGCTTGGTGAGGCTTGTCGCCTTGTAAGAAGCGACTAACGGGATCTTATGCTTGCCACCTTGGTTGACACAAGTCATTACATCCCACTTGCATAGATTGATGCTCATGCTGTTGATCACTGAATTGACTGATCCAGACTCAATTATTTACAGAACACAGCCATATAGCTGGAATATTGCTGAGTGCAGCGTTAAACAACAAAAACCAAAAATCATTTGAGTCTACACTGGAGAAATCAGTGATATTGATATGAACAAAAACCCACATTGTCAGATTATTATTATTTATTATCATTATATGCCACATTTCTACAGCGCCCTATTTGAACTACTTCCAGATCACTGTAAGGCCCTTTACAAGTTGCTTTCCCCTCTATCATTAGATAACAATCTCAAACAGCACATTGTATTATCAATCTCAACTCCCTGGGAATCATACAACTCTTGCAGCCACTAGGCCACTAGTAAATGTGGCTTTCCCATTACGAGGTACACATTAACAGCTGGGTGGACTGGGACACATAGTCACATATTATGATGAACCAATGAGCATACAATCCATTAAGTTGCTGCTGACAACACGCACAGGTCACTTGCACAAATATATGCATCAACTCACCTTGTATCTGTGCATGGACTGATACAGTCTGCCTAGGTTGCCATAGTGTTTGGCTGTCTGAACATTGTTCTCCCCGAAGGCCTTTTTGGCCAGTTCTAGGGACTGAAGGTGAAGGTCCTGGGCTTCATGCAGTAGCTGGTCCTCCATCTTCTTGTTGTGGCTGTCAATGGCTATCTCCTCCAGGATCAGAGCTGACAATCAAACATACCAGGCTATACAAGACTATAAAAAGCCCCAAGTCACAACCCAGTCTATTCTTTTCCTAGCCTACAACATACAGTACCCCAGTATTTGTGACATATATCATTATCATTTTCACCTCATAAAGGAATTTGTTGCAGCTGTATATGTGGCCCAAGAAGATCCGGGTAAGAATTGGTCTTCAGCATCCCATGCCTTGTAAGAGGCGACTAACGGGATCTTATGATCATGCTTGCCACCTTGGTTGACACAAGTCATTACATCCCACTTGCATAGATTGATGCTCATGCTGTTGATCACTGAATTGACTGATCCAGACTCAAATATTTACAGAACACAGCCATATAGCTGGAATATTGCTGAGTGCAGCGTTAAACAACAAAAACCAAAAACCATTTTGATTCTACACTGGAGAAATCAGTGATATTAATATGAACTAACACCCACACTGATAACTGTAGATTTTCTCTGACTTTTTTACCACTCTGTTCATTCTTCCCCTTCAAGATCAGAAAACTATCAACAAAGAAAGATTGTCATACATGGCTTCTCTTGTCACAAGTATTCAGAACAAGCAGTCTTGTTTCCTTATCAAAGAAGCAACCAGATACCAAATTTACAGTCACTTTCTGTTTCTAACATGCTGAAATTATGGTAATGTTAAAGCTGGCTGAAGCATCTCTCCAGTGTATCAGCATGGCTTCACACAACTTGAGTGTTCACTGTTTCGGGGAAATATGTATTGCTGCAGCTATTTAGTATCATTCTATTCCGTCCTAATAAGACATTACAAATATATGATATTTTGTGGGCATCTAACACAGCTCATGCCTATTTGAAGGTATATGTGTACACAAATAGAAGTCCCATACCTCAATGCTAAGAAAGCAAAACCAAGCATGATAATTAATTCAATATGAAGGACGACAATGATAGTCTTTAACTATAGACAATGGAACAAGATTTATTATTTCTCAAATCCACCCTGAAATAATGTAAGAGGAACATATATTTTTCAGACTTTACACTTATTTTATACTGCCAATAGAGACATCTAGAGTGAGTGAGTTTGGTTTTACACTTTTAGCAATATTCCAGCAATATCTGGGCACGGGACACCTGAAATGGGCTTCACATAATGTGCCCATGTGGGGAATCGTACCCGGGTCTTCAGGGTGATGAGCTAACGCCTTAACCACTAGGCTACCCCACCGTCCACATGGGACTGAACCAAGCTCTACATGCAAATACTATACCCACTATACCACAGGGGCACTTTCGGTTGAGACAAAGCACATCACACATTGGTGTAAGAAAGGCCATTACTTGTTTTGCCAGTTCTGTGGAAATAATACTGATTTCAAAATACTCACCTTTGACTCTTTTCGAAGAGGAAAGTAATAAGTGATCTACTGGAAGAATATTGCACAAAATCTCTATCGCCTTTTCAGCATGATCCCTGCAAAAAGGAAAACTGCACAATTAAAGTTGCCACAGAACACACTGGAGAGTATATATTTACTATTATTTAGTCATGGCATGAAAGCTAAACGCACATCAGAGTATGATTGGATGATTGATAAAGCAAGCCATGTAGACAAAGGCTCCACATACCCAAGCACATGCTGTGTTACCAGTAAAACAATGGTTGCCAAGGTGACAGCTGGGATGTGTTTGAGTGAAGTGTTTTAATAAACTGGCAACAGATTCCACTAGGAATAGAACCAGAAAGGTGAAAGGCTCAGGGTGACATAGGTTAAATTTACATTTGTCTATTCCCGGTAATGGCAATGGTAATGGTAAACATTTATTGCAGTTATACTCACTTGGCCTTCTGGAATCTGCCCGAACTGTACTGCTCCACATACGATGCATATGCTAGGTCCTCATGGGCAATGGCCACATACAGATTGTTACCTCCAAACACAGCCTGTCGGATGTCGAGGGCAATCTAACAGGAGAAATACATCAGGCTGATAAAGTTGTCCGGAAATACTGCTACTACCAGTATTGTATTGATTACTCTGAGATTGCATTCCTGATGGGCAAGCAGACAAGCATGACAGCCTTTGGGAATTGGGGTAAGAACATGACCCCCAGGAACCATTGCTACTACAATCGGGGGGGCATGGCAGATACATGTTTAATAGTGAGGGGTCCTAATCCTTGTGATTTTACATTACAAGAAATGTAGAGGAAACCTTCCTAGAGATATAAACATACAAACTGCTGTCAAGACCGATGCACCTTGTTTGTTTGTTTGTTTAATGATACTCAGCAATATTCCAGCTACACTTGTATATAGTTGCTATCAGTAAACAATTGAGTCTGGATCAGACAATCCAGCGATCAACATCGTGAGCACCAAACTATGCAATTGGGATACAGTGACATGCGTCAACCAAGTCAGCAAGTCTGACCACCCGATTCCATTAGTCGCCTCTCACGACAAGCATGGGTTACTGAAGATCAATTCTAACCTGGATGTCACGGGTTTATATGTGTGCCTGTCTCAGACTGACTTTGGACATAAATTCAACACAACAAACAGAGCTTACCTGGTACACACACACAGACCCAGGTATAGAATCTACATTGAGGAGATAGAAACCATAGTCCAGAAGAGCATCAGAATACTTCGGGTGATGGCTTCCAAAATGCTCCCTGGAAAATGAAAATAAAAATTTGATGATACACCAGACTTTTGGAAAAACACTTCTAAAGTTTGCATACTAAGGAACAGTCTCTACTGGACAAACCATTGGGCGATACACATTGTTCGGGACAATTATGAGCACTTACGTCATCCGCATGCTAATGCTGACATGTTTCAAATATTACTGTGACGATGTCGGAATGACATACTAAAAAGTGTGGCACTGCTGAAACACACTGCCTTTTGAACGTTGTCAAATGTAATAACTGGTACACTAACAAAGTCAAAATAAACAAGGTTTTTTTTAGTTCTATGGATGCACAACTGGATCATTATAACATATGCAACATTTTAGTGAAGATGCCAACACCATTTTCAAGCAAGCAATCTACACCAAAATATTGCATATATTTTAATAAAGATGTTGTAATATCCATACAACTACCCCCTTTGTTCATCACATCAACTTTTAACGCCACTCAAGGAATTTAATACTTGAAATACTTGAACTTCATGGGGCGGAATCCCATAAGGGATTTGCAAGCACCCAAAGTCAAAGTAATCTAACCCACTCTGCCATCGTGGGTTAACCTTGCCTTCACAGAGGAAATATAAGAACTCACAGGCTAATGTAACACACAGGCTCAGGGGTGGAAATAACTTTAAAATTGCTAGTGTACTCCGGTACAGTGGCACATGTAAAATCACTTGCCCTGATAATTTTTCCACTGTACCAGCCGTTTTCTTGTTGATTTTTAAATAAACAACATAATTAACATTGGAAAGTCAACTTGACACCAGTACAGTGTGATATACAAATTAGCTATGGGTTATTTCCACCCCTGAGGCTAATGTAATATACTAATAATCTCTTTACATCAGAATCAAGCTAACTGTGTGGGTTCACTATATTACATCAGAAATTTCATTGGAAAGTAAAATGTACAAGTTACCTTGCATATGCAACTGCTTGTTTGATAAGCACTTCTGCCTTTTCAAACTCTCTCTTTACGACACACGCCTTGGAACACTGCCGCAACACATCCACCACAGCCTGGTACACGAACAGGGAGACATAGATACTAACTATCAAAAGTTTACACTCAATAGTGTACATGTAGCCACTTACTTCACGCAACTGTTCTAAACTAAATTTTGCAAAATATTCCATACCGTTTAAAGGTGCTGTTTATAAATGAACTGATGTATTGTAAAACAAATTCATAACGTTGAAAAGATTATTGTCATGCATTCAATAAATGATGAAACTCGGTTAAAAATGGCGAATTCTTATCAAAACTTTACACCAAAACGCAGCTGTTCACATGCACGATACTTGCATATACTTTTCAGCAGTTTGATGCATAATCCTCGTGCAATTAATCTGCACAAGGTTTGCAGGTGTTTCCCCCAAGTTAGTGGAGAAATTCATCTTCGTTGTAACCATATTATATACATACATAACAAATAGTGAATGTTTTAAGTGAGTCTAAACTTTTGATTGGTAGTATATATTTCATTTATCAGAACATGAAATATGTTGCAAAGAATCACCTCTAAGAGACACAGCATGGTTTTACATGACTCAGAAATACTCGTACCAAATTCTTGACAAGATATGTAAAGTGATTAAATCATATTCAAAAGCAAATTACACTACGTCATTTCATTACTTTCAGAACCCTCATATTTCCTGTAAAAGTCACTCGAAATTATCATTGGGGATACCCTGTCATGTTACATATATTTGTTGAACTACACCAATTTCAATTAACAAACAAAAATACTGAGTTCTTCATCAAAATCCATGCACTGAACTTGGATGATTATACCATTTCTGTGCCAGCAAACGTAATTATAACTTTAATATTTTTTTATTATCTCCTATATAACGGAGCTATTTTGGGATAGACACTGCAAAAACAGGCCTTGGAAAAATATTAACAACATGTCAGTCAGTTAATATTATTGTATCAAAGAATACTGATGTGATTTGTATTCTTACCTTATGAGACAAAGAGGGAGCCAGTTCATGCAGAGCAAGTGTACAATACTTGTAAGCCTGGAAATGAAATATGCAATAAAAATACAATACTGATACACACAAGACAACAATGATCAGAAGTTTTGTCATCCATAATAAACCATTATCAGCCTAGATATAGTAACAGTGAAAGCGTGACATTGTTCCATCATTGATGTCCCAGTACTTTACAGAGATACAACAAACATGACTCTTTCAACCAAATTTTTATCATCATACATGCATTCTTCTGTAGAGTAAAGAGTTGTTGATAGGTTCCAGTTGCAAGCAAGGTGAAGTACCGAAGTTTAGATTTGTTTGTTGTTTAACTCTCCACTCAGTAATATGCCAGCTATATGATGGCGGTCTGTAAATAATCGAGCCTGGACCAGACAACCAAGTCAGCGAGCCTGACCACCCGATCCCGTTAGTCGCCTCTAACAACAAGCGTGGGTTACTGCAGACCAATTCTAACCTGGATCTTCACAAGTGGTAGTAAAGAAGCCTTGTGGTAATAATGTACCTTGATCCTGAATACCCTGGTTCCATATCCAACACCGATACAATGTGTGCAAGCCATTTCTAGAATTCCCAACCAAGATATTTCTTGAAATGAAATGCAGAAAGTAGCATAAAATCACTCGCTCAAAGCAAACCGAGTACTGACCTCATCGTACTGACTTTCTGCAAACAGCAAAGCACAGCATTCTGTGTAGAGAGCTGACTTGCTGACTGTTATCCCATGCTGGGCTAGAATCTCCATCAGTCGGAATGCTTCCCTGCAGGTCTGGTCTGCCTCTCTGTACTTACAGTTGGCATTCTGTACATGCAGTAATCTGTAACACCAGAAAATATAAGATAACACCACAGACTTAGTATTTACTGCCATTGTTCTTCTGAGCTGAGCAACTTTCAATTCAGGGGTCGAGCTTCACATTCACCTCTAGGTATGCTCATAGCGCTAACAATTAAGGCACAGCACATTATTACCCCGGATAACCCAAGCTGCCTGTTAGGCGCTAGAAGGTTATAGTCATATGACTTTTTCCACCGGGTACCCGTTTTATGGCCCTGGCCATTCATAATATAGCAGTGCATCACTTCCTGGTCGACCGTTCATTCCTTGGTCATTTGTCACTTGGAATGTACGAATGTGACCTTGATTATATAGAAGGCTGTTGCATGATGTTTTCATTTGAAACACAAAATTGTGATAAATGTCAAAAGACGAGTTTAAGAAACATATTTCTTGCACTAGTTTTCATTGCAGACTTGTGACTGATAAGTGCTTAGAAACTGAAGTGGTTATTGGTTAAGTATTTATTATCTCAATGACTTGCAATGTACATATGATTATCATGAGAGAAAGTATATACACACATTTACAGTAGCACATTACGCAAGTTTAACATGTTCAAGGACGACTTGCACAAAATAGTATTGCTTACAAAAATAGCATTGCTTACAACAAACGGTGCCACAGGTGTCTTGAGCATATGTGCTCAGAATTCTACAACATTTTTCAAGCATCAAATAAGTGTAACTTTAAAATTAATTGACCATTTGTTTGTTTGTTACTTATATTGCTATAAAAAATTGAATCTGGACCAGACAATCCAGTGATCAACAACATGAGTATCTATCTACAATGAGTCAACCAAGTCAGCGGCCTGACCACCCAATTCCATTAGTTCCCTATGATGAAAAGCATGGGTTACTGAAGACCGATTCTAGCCCGGATCTTCATGGGTGAGTTATTGATCAGTGTCAATTTTTAGTTTCTGAAATTTCTCCAAGTTAACAGTTTTCCATTCATCTAGCATACATAAATAAGTGAGTGAGTGAGTTTAGTTTTACGCCGCTTTAGCAATATTCCAGCAATATTACATCAGGGGACACCTAAACTGTAAACTGGGCGTCACACATTGTACCCATGTGCGGAATCAAACCCAGACCTTCAGCATGACAAACGAGCACTTTAACCACTAGGCTACCCCACCGCCCAATACATAACTAAGAAACGTGTATTTTGTTTTAACACACCTGACACTGCATTCCAGAGCTCTACACAGACTGCCAGTATCCGTCTCTGCCTGACACACTTCGGCACAAGCTTTGTACACACGTTCACTGTCTTGAAACCAGCCTGCATCACTCAGAAAACCACCTGGAAGCAGGAAACATCTCTTGAATAATAATAGAGAATAACAACAGAGAGTTGATCTTAACATGTTAGTTATTTTAATGTGATATGACACTAAAACAAGTAAGTTGGGTTCAATGCTGCTTTGAACAGTATTTCAGTGACATAATGGTGTGGGAGGAAAGTTTTTGTTTAACGCCAAACTCAGCAATAGTCCATCTATCTGGTAGCCATAAAAAAATAACCGAGTCTGGCCTAGACAACCCATGGATAGACACCATAGGCATCAAAGCAATTGGGATATGATTACGTGTGTCAACCAAGTCAGTGAGTCTGAGAGAGAGTGAGTGAGTTTAGTTTTACGCCGCACTCAGCAATATTCCAGCTATATGGCGATGGTCTGTAAATAATCGAGTCTGGACCAGACAATCCTGTAATCATCGATCTGCGCAATTGGGAAGCGATGACGTGTGTCAACCAGGTCAGCGAGCCTGAACCCCGATCCCGTTAGTCGCCTCTTACGACAAGCATGGGTCACTGACTGAAAGACTGAAGGGATGTAGGTCCTGGTCATCTCCTACTTCAGTGAAACCTACAAGTGTGTACATGGTGCAAACCTCAGAACATAACCATGGTGAACTACGAGATCTAAACCATGATTTTAGTTTTCTGGCACCATGTGGCACATCTAAAGAGATAACGCATAGACAACTGGCCCCTCATTCCGTTAACAGCCAGTGACATTAATGGTGAATCTGTTCCCTAAAATATTTAGGAAATGATGGTGTCAGTTGGTAAAGATGTGACCAGATATTTGAACACCCATCTTAATATTTCTACAAACAGTAATCAACTGCTACAATAATGGCTTCAACGTGTAGCCAACAACTTTCATGTAGATCTGAACCAGACTGCTGTCATTCGACATTTGGCAGATGCAAATATACAGTATGAACAAACCTACCTAAATTAAATCCAAGCTGTAGATATCTTATTTTTGTGTACTGATCTTTCTTCATTATTTCTGACACACGGACAACAAAAGAATCAGCCAGGATTCCTGATGCCCGTAAACCATGATCCATCAAGGCTTGAAAACAGTGGTGTAGCAGGTGTCTGTAAAACAAGGTGAAAACATACAGTGAACTGGCACAATCATTTGGTTTGTGGAGATCTCTCACTTCTGATCATACATACACCAGGGTCAAGGGCAGGGGTGGAAATAACCCATTGCCCGACGTCCGAGTCCAGTGTTTTTTTCTGTCGGGCAAGCAAATTTGTATATCACACTGTACCAGTGTCCAGTTGACTTTCCAATGTTAATTATGATGTTTATTTAAAAAAGTCAACAAGAAAACGTCTGGTATAGTGGAAAAATTATCAGGGCAAGTGATTTTGCATGTGTCACTGTTCCGGAGTACACTAGCACTTTTAAAGTTATTTCCACCCCTGAAGGGGTTCAAAGGGGGTTTGGACCGTTCCTGGTGCTGATGTTGGAGGTGTATGATAAGGACACCAAAAATTATATTCTCAATCAAAACAGAAAAATGTCTTTCCTTTCACAGTAAGGCTGGCCTCCTGAATATCTTAATTTTCAATGCCATCCATCAAACCAGGCTTTTCATGCATTTGGGCAAAAAACACAGAAACATACAGAGCTTTAAAGTCATGTGCACTGGAGACACAGTTGTCTTTCTAAGGCAGATTCTCAGGCTTCATAACCAAAAGAAGACTTCATAGATGGCAAGTGTGTTTAATGACTGAGGACTGATTCACAAACAAAGAAACACTTGTGTGTACATCTGTACACATGATGTAATCTTGGTAATATTAATGTGTTGCAGCCGGGTTTAACAGGTTAATTTATAAGCATACATCCAAAATGTCCTATAGATGGTTTTCAAATTTCAAAGAGATACTGACAAAATGTCAAATTGAAAGTTAACAAAATCACGAAAATGTCCTAAAGTCATTAGTCTCCACCAAGTTCCCTGGTTGCTAAAGTACCACATTCTCTTCCCACAGAGGTTACTTGTCATATCTTCCTACCAAGATATGACAAGTAACCCCTGTTGCAAGAGAATGAAAGAACCAATGCTATTATGTATTTACATTGATTAAATTAGCGATTTACCTCATCGGAATAGCATACAATGACCTGCTGTGACAGTCAGTATGACTGTCTTACAAGGTGAGGTGAAATTGGGTTTAAAGTCGTGCTTGAGAATATTTCGCTAATATGACGACGTGCATGCGTGTGTATGTGTATGTGCGGCTGCTTGTACTAGCCCAGACTTAAGCTGGTTTATAGTGCTAGCCCACTGAGATACAATGCCACAGTGAAGCATGAGTACCCCACTCAGACACATTACAAGGCCACTAAGCATAAATCACTGACTAATGTCAAGTACCAAGGTCAATCTGCATTCATACTAGAGCTGGTTATCGCTCACAATATGCAGATTGATCATCAAGGTTAGTAATTGATCAATAATAATTGTAATCGTAAACCCCACCACAGAACTTATGTGGGCAATAACGGTACACAATCATAACATTGTGCAAACAAAACAGACACGAGGATACTTCCTGTTGAGACACGCACACAAGTATGTTTACATAGCAGATTTAAGAGTCAGGAAACAATTGTATATGTCTTGAATTAACAAACACAAAAATAGAAACATACTTTCTAAAGTATAATTCGATGCTTTATAATTTACGAATATCAAATAGTCTCTTGAGCCCACTGATGATCACCGATGCAAGTGAGATCAATCAATTGACTGATCATTTGATCAATCGCTCCAGCACTATACATGCTATATATGATGACTGACAGATCAAGACAGAAGTATCTATTTGTCAGGGTTAATGGCTGACTGGCTAACTGGTGATCTGCTACTACAACTGTTCATTGTTAATGTTCATTACCATGCTGTAAAATGAAAATCCTCCAACATTGTTGCTACACACCTGACTACCCCATGTAGCGGACATCATGTACCTTATCATGAATGATGAAGAATAAATACTAATCTAAAGACTCAGAAGTGTTCAAAATTAAGGGTGAATGTTCTTAACATAACTTATATTAAAACTTAAAACAAACATGTAGTCCTAAGCCTAACCTAAATGTAACCAAGAGGAACAGAAAGGGGTTCTCAACCCTTAGTACTGTGAAGGTGTAAATGATTACAAAGAATTGTCTTGGTAAGCTTTGTTAACATATGTTTGAACTGAAATGGGTGCCTAACCTATGTCTTCATATTGGGGAACAAAATCAGAAAGGGGACCCAAGTATGATGTTGGATTGATTAGATAAATAAGTGGTTTAGCAAAACAAATCACTATTATGACAAAACCAGTGCTTTTTTAAGTACTGTCGGAAATAGAAAATTGGAAATTTTAACTATAAATTGTATATTTATATACTTATCCTATCTCACGACTTGCACCTCTCTCTCTTCATTCGACCATGAGTGGAAACGAATTAAACTTTACTCCAGGCCTACCTTGTCCCTGTCCCTGTGCTGTGCATGCCTTAGCCATGCTCACTAGTCCGTGACAGCACGTGGCATGCGCAGTCCTCACCCACGTGATCACCTTACATACTCATTCTCGATCTTGGAGCCATAAAAGGACAAAACCAGAACGGTAGTAATCTAAGTAGTGGGGAGGTAGGGTGGGACTTTATCGCGTGAGATAGGATAAGTTTAAAAATTTGGAAATTTTAATACTTATCCTATCTCACGACTTGCACTTATCCAACGGTAGGAAGGTGGGTCATAGATTACCCGAAGTTCAAGCGATAACAGCTAAGCGTTATGCCGAAAAAAACGTAGGAAGCAACAACAAGGCAGGCCAATAACTACCAAAGTTACTACGTGCGAGGGTTAGTTCGAACCCATTGACTTACTAAGGACAAGCGCTCCCAGGGACCGGGATTCCCGAGCAATGTGGTGTTCAATCACTACCTTCACGAAAGTGAAAGGACGCAGCTTAGCGAGTGTAATCAGTCGCATCGCCACGATTTCCAAGGTACCCCCGTAATAAAAGTCTAACGACTAGTATTGGGCCAGCCCCTGCTTCGAAACAACCCCCACAGACACACCCACATGGAGGGTGAAAGGGTAATTGAATCGGAAAACTCACAATTTTAACGTTCAGTACCACAACAACATCTTCTGACTGCCACTACTTACCACAGTAAGATCATATAGATGTGTATACGTACTTAGGAGCATGAACGCTACGAAGTGTAACACTTCGGGAATGACTCACTTCACTGAGGTAATTACTCCGTGGAGCAGAGGACAGTAAGTGAGGTGGCGACTCTCCAGAGTCTCAAAACAAAATGGGAGGAGAAATCTAAATCCCGGAAGAATCAAAGACGCAAAACAGAAAATACGTTTCAGATTTATTCAGATTGTACACAAGCAGAAACGATCGCGACTGGTGATCATCTGCACTAATGGGTATCCATATAGCATCGTAGCACAAGGAAGTTCAGTATCTGCGATGTTGCGCTGCTGACAACTGTTGGACAAGGATGAGTGGTCCAAACTGATGAAGGCCTTGAATATCCGTCACCGACACATCTCTGAGGTAATGAGACGAAAATACAGTGTCAGAACGCCAAAAACAACCCTCCATTATAGCAGTTAACAAGCAGCTACTATGCAACGCCATAGTAGAAGCCAATGCCCTGGTTTCATGAGGGTTGACTGCCGTAGGTGGTGGCAAACCGGCAAAAGTGTAGGCTCGTAGAATTGTAGATCGTAGCCAATATGAGAGAATTGTGCGAGAGACTTCTGCCTTGGAAGCAGTAGACAAGGGTATAAACAGTCACTTACGCAAGTGGCGGCGCTCTTGCGATGCTTTAAATGCAAAGCACTCTAGCTGGACAGAGAGACAGATCCTCACATCTTCTGGACCCAAAATAGTAGACAAAGGTGGGATTGTAAAAAGGCGATCAGGTTGACCCGGCAACTGGTTTTAGCGACAAAATGCCAGCGCAATCAAAAAAATACCTTGCTCTGTCTACCCTGTTCAAAACGGACACGATTGACATCTAGAGCATAAAGTTCTGATACTCGTGCCGCCGTGGCCAAGGCAATCAGAAAAAAGGTCTTGAACAAAACCTGTTCAAAATCCTTGTCCTGTAAGGGTTCATAAAACTTGGACAATAAGTAGCGAAGGACCAAGATAAGTCCCAAGCTGGTGGACGAAATTTCCTGGATTGGTCGGCTAGCTTAAAAGATCGAAGCAAGTACTGCAGTTCCGGTACCGTGGAAACCTTCGTACAGAAAGTCGTAGCTTAGACCAAATTAATAGCCGCCAAGTAAGTAGCTAAAGTGGAACCCTAGAGTTTCCTTGTAGCCCGCAAATGTTGTAAATATTCCTCAACAACCTGGGGCGAAGCAGTAGTAGGGGAAGTGATCCCTCTGACCCGACAATGACATTAAAATTTCTTCCACTTATCGTGATATAAAGAGCGTGTAGACGTGCGATGAGCTGCAGTGATAGCTGAGGCCACTCTGTGAGAATAACCTTTTGCCATTAGTGATTTCTGCAAATGTGCCATACATGAAGATTGAACGTCTGTGCTGACTCGTGATACACCAGTCGCGGATGAACTAGTAGGTCGTCCCGCACGGGAAGAGGAATACTGCTTCGACAGACTTGACTTTTTAGTCCGACGAACCAGCTTCTTGCCGGCCAGAAGGGCGCTACCAAAAGCAGTTGCACTTTGTTGGTTAACAGAATTTTCTGAATGACCTTGTGAAGCAGAGCCGGGGGCGGAAATGCATACGCGTTGAGACCCTGCCAGGGAATGGCTAAGGCGTCGTGATCCCAAGCTAGTGGATCCGGTATTGGAGACACGAATCTCGGCAGTTGGGAGTTGAACCGATTGGCAAACAGGTCCACACTTGGTCGAGATAGCGGGTAAATTATCGTCTGAAAAATGGGTCGACTGAAGGGCACCAAAGGGACTGAAGGGCACCAAAGAGATGCCCGGCACAAACATTCCATACCAACAGAACTGTCGTTGGGCCACCAGCGCTTGAAGGGTCGAGGCGCAGTTCCCTGGGTAACAGAATCAACTCCTGAGGGTTGTTGGCTTGAAGATGAGGTCGCCACCTGTCCCAGAAAAACAACTGGAAGCTGTGTAGGCGAACTGCTGCAGCTGAAAACTTTCGTTTTCTGGCCTGAACAGGCTTATCCATGTTGAGCAATTCTCAGACGAAAAAATTCCACATACACTCTGTCGAGCGACAAGAAAGAGAATGAGTATGTAAGGTGATCACGTGGGTGAGGACTGCGCATGCCACGTGCTGTCACAGAATAGTGAGCATGGCTAAGGCAGGAAGGCATGCACAGCATGGGGACAAGGTAGGCCTGGAGCAAGTCGTGAGATAGGATAAGTTTAAAAATTAACTGTTTTAAGGCTGTTAATCTGTACCCTTAAAATTTACACAATTGCAAATAGCACATGTCGAAAAAATCCACATCAGCCTAACTGGGTGTTCAGTGAGATGCATAATAGGATATCCAGAAAAGCATGTTTACTCGTAAAATCGGGCAAAACTTAAAAAAGTATGAATAGCTGCTGAAAACAATAGATCAGACTATAGATGGGAATTAGGTCGCTCAGCCAAGTATGACGACGGATCGTCGACTCACCTGGCATGAAATGCATGTGCTGCCAACAGGCACAAAGGGTTATCTCAATGACATTTTATGCTTTTTCATGTGGGTTGAATATGTCTCATCGATTGAATAACATCTTACGTGTCTTTCTTTCAAAAGGTTTATGTTGAGATATGTAAAGGAGTATTATACCCATAGAAAAGCTTAAATCTGCCAACGTATAAAATGTCTCAAAATATATAGGTGGCATGATCACCCGAAAGATCGACAGGACTGGATATTATTTGTAAATTGTTATGACATGCTGTTTGCTTCCCCAGTTTAATTCCCCTAAAAGATTGTCTTATCTCAGGTGATATCTCTGTCCCCCAGCCTGACCCCAACCACCGTCTTCGACACCCGTCCTGTTCTTTTGAGACGACCTCACTTGTTTCTTATTACAGTGATAGTGAGACACCATGGTAGCTACATCCTTCATAGTTTCAGTAAAATTAAAAAATTAATGTCAGCTATTGTTTATTATGAAGCTAAGTTTAATTTCAAAATGGGCATTTAAAAGTGTCCTTTGTAATACAATATCATCACCCACTTATTGGCATAAAGCCATGGTCAGTTCCAAATAAGTCACTTTGGACTTGGGGGGTGGGGGGACATATTGCTCATTTCTGCACTAATCTCTCTTCAGTAAAGTCCTTTTTCTACGTTTTCTATGTCCCTACCACTGAGACTGTAGTTAGGTCGAACTAAATTTAACAGGTATTTCACTCTTTCACATATTAACTACATAAATTGTAGATATAAATGCGAAAAAACAGGGTTTTTCCTTTTTTCGACAGTACTTTCGTGGCACTTTTACTTGCTGGTCAGGTGGGTCAACAGTAAATGAAAATACTGGTTACAACTAAAACATACCAGTCCCATCATTGCTAAAACATAGATCTAAGAATTTGAAAGACACATGTTTTTTACTTGCTATATCATTATCAATCAATTATGATTTGCAATGTTTGGTTCATCTGAAGTACTTTTAAGTACTGTGAAGCAATCTGTGATATGAAAAGCATTTCTTAATTGTAATTTCTGCAGCACATAAGGACAACAGAACCACTGTAGATTGAAGCATAATTTATACAAATATTAGGAGTGAAACAGTATGCTCTTACCACGGTATGGTATATATTGCAGTACAAGGCCTTCAGTTTGGTCTGTTTCGGTTCGGTATATGAGAACTTATGAGCAGAAAGAAATGCATATATTTTGACAAAATGATTCGATATTTTGACATTTTAGAAAAGCTTTAAAAAGGTTAATAAAATAATGGTACAAAAACCGAAAATACCAAATTTTTGCATTAAGGTATTACCAATCCAAAGGTAAAATACCACAGTTCTACTAATACCGCGATAAACTGTTTCACCCCTTACAAATAAGAAAATAGTAATACAAACCTTTTGTCATTGACCTTTAAAACTTTGGCAAATGTATCTAAATCACTAAATTCCATTCCCAACTGACACAGCCTTCCCTTACTGTAGAGCTGGAAAATAGAAGTTGTAAATTTACTAAATTATGATACATACATGCAAAAACTAAGAGTGACACACAACTATATCAACAGAGATGCCAACTCTGAATCTAAGGAAAACGGAGTCATGACTGGCTGAAACCCAGCCATTAGCACCAAAGGTGAAAGTTGGGGGTGAGCGTGCGTGGTTGACTCTGCCATTTTGTTTCACTTTCATACGGACTATGATATGCATTTGGAAAAACTTTGTGAAACTTCATTGTCAATAACACGCAATATACACAATCAACACCCAAAGGATCCACACGCTAAGCTTCTGAATGCTTGAACCAGTGTTCACTCAAATAAATCACCGATTACTTACGAAATTGAATACTGCAAAATAATTTTTTTTAACAGAAATCGGAGAGCAGATTTTGTATTTGAAAATCGAGTAACTCTGCCAAAATCGGAGTGGTTCGCATCTCTGTATCAATCAAAACATACCATAATTATTGTATAGATACAGTAATAAGGTATCTGTTGGTGTTAGAACATTGGTCATAATTGTATTCATGTTATTACCATGAAACTATAAGTAACCAGTTGAGTCTCACTCATTCACTGTCTATCTCTCTTAAACTGTGATCTTGGTAAACAGGGGCTGTGAAGGTCCTTAGACTGACTGAATTAAGAGACATGTGGTTTATATCTGATGAATCGGATAGCATCTGCATATGTAGTTTACAAACTGGCTGTTGTTGACGAAAGAGTTGACTTAAACTGACACCTGATACCAGGAAATTCAGGTATACGAAACCGAATGTAGGCTGCCATTTTATATTATATATTTACCAAAATATGCCTTACCTTATAATAAATATCAAACTGCACATTTTCTGGTAGAACCTTTAAATCCCTTCTGCCCCTTGGATATGAAGCTACGATAGCTGAAACGGCTGTGTTATACAACGAATCAGGTACCCAATGCAACGCACAGGCAGACGCCATGATGGATACCTTGACCAGTGACGTCACTGAAAGGGAGGTAAGTCCTGTTCCAAATACCGCTATGTCGCCCCAGGCACATATGTATTCTAACTTTGAAAGTATAGGAATATGGGTTTTCTCTTCACGCATGCAAATTTGCTTAATATGGGCTACAATGGCGACTGGTCGATTTCACCACCAAGTGGTATCTGGTAATTAAGCGACCTTATGTGAGACGACTGAGTGTCATATTGACCTTTGATCTTGGGAGTTAATTCACCAATTTTACACCATTCTCCAAACGAGCCAGTAAAGGACCGTTCATAATTTATGGCGGGGGGTGGGGGGTGAGGGGATGATAATTTTTATGAAGAAGCATGTACAATGTGAATTACCCCCCTAAAATGTATGTACAAATTAAGTGACCCCCCTGCATGCCATGTACAAAATCAATGACCCCCCCTCCCCTTCCCAAAATTTCTAAGCATATTTTAAACATATCTTAAAGTACAAAATTGCTGACCCTCCTAGTACATGTGTACAAAATTGATAACCCCCTAGCTCCCCAGAACAAAATAGGTGACCCCCCTTAAAATCATCATCACTCCCCCTAGCCATAAATTATGAACGGTCCCTATAAGTCAAATGTTCATTAAAATATGAAAGATAAATAACTAGATTTACCAAACTTTTAAAAAAGTCACTGCAACTTTTCCTTCACTTCTGACTTCATGAATATATACTGAATATATGTAAGTGAGTAGCAAAGAAAGCAGGACTTCAGAGTCAGTTAAAAATTGTGAGTGAGTTTAGTTTTACGCCACTTTTAGCATTAGTCCAGCAAGACCACAGCGGGGTACAGCAGAAAAGGACTTTACTCATTGTACCGACGCCCCAACCTTGAATATTTGACTAAAGCCACATTGAAGTTAATGTTTTTGCAGGGTGTGTTGCAGGGTGTGTGAGGGGTTAGTCCCACAAACATGACAGTCTCAGTCTCGAAGTTGCCATACCCACGATTGACTGTACCATTACTACTTTATTCAAGTTTAGAAACAAGGCCAACAAAGGCGTAATTCTCTTCGGATAAAGGTTTGGAAGGAAATGTACCGTAATGTTTGTTAGTGTTGTGAGAGATGAATGATAATAATTCATTGTATTATCGTCTGATGGTGCACGTTAAAACTATCCAAGAAGAAAATAGAAAAGAAAAATCTACATGTAAAGTAAAAGCTACAAGAAATACTACTATCCAATTCATATACAGAACTGATCGCAGGTACCTAAATTCAACGACACTGAAATATGATAACGAAAAAAGTAACCGTGAAAACTAAATAAAAATACTAGTACATTTATTGTGATATTAAAATATGCATCTTTCAGTACATATTCGTGAAGGCATATCCTAGACTTTAAGGTCGTGATTCACAATAAGCATGAGCATGTTGATGTACGGCGCACTCTTTGGATGCTTGCCTGTTTGTTGGGGTCTTGATACTCGTAAAAGATTTATTTTTAAATGTGAACGTATGAATTATTATTGCTCATGATTGTTGGTTGGTTGGTTGTTTAACGCCGCACTCAGCAATATTCCAGCTATATGGCGGTGGTCTGTAAATGATCGAGTCTGTACCAGACAATCCAGTGATCAACAGCATCAGCATCGATCCACAGGAGCTTGTTTTGCAAGGACCTATTATTTTCAGCAATACAAGCCCCTGTGCATCGATCTACACAACTGGGATACGATGACATGTGTCAACCGAGCCAGACCACTAGTGTTGGGAATTGTTTGAAATCTCACAATTGATGATTGCTTCATTAACCAACGAGAAATCATCGAAAAAGATTGGTTAGCGTCATTTCTCAGATTTTCCTATTCAGGTTGTTATTGTAGATAAGTATAACATGATGCAACTTGCTAATGTGACTAGTGACTAATGTATAATGAACATAAACTTCCCAGAGTCTTCAACAAATATCCAGTCATGACTTTTCAGTTAGTGAATTGAGTTTTCTAAGAATTAAACACGTTTTCAGGCCCTGACAACCTCGAAGATATGTTCCATCGACAAGTGTTTCAAAGACTAAAACAGAAGTTCCAAAATCGTTTGTGTTCGATTATGAGAAAATGTGATCGACTGCTTGGTCGTTTGGTCACTGCGACCAATCTTCGATTATTTTATTTAATCAGATCACCACTACTGACCACCAGATCCCGTTAGTGGCCTTTTACAACAAGCATTGGTTGCTGAAGACCAATCCTAGCCCGGATCTTGAAACACTTCCTTAAACGTTATTAATGTAACGCCCTTGCTGAAAATAAGCGCCTGTGTACCGTGGGTATGCTGCAAACAGGAAAAGCACTAAACGAAATTATTGTTCATCTGTCCACATTCGGACTTGGCATGACAAAGTCGTATGAACAACTTGGACATTTCTTGGATCAGGACTACTTGGTGACAGAACTGATCGAACGCAACCGATTGAGGGAGCACTACTTCCGGCACCGAGGTAGAGCCATTCACACAATTTTGCGTTCCCGTTATACCCAGGGTGTCGTTGTATAAAGTGATATTTGCGCTTGTAAAGGTCATCCCAACTATAATAGAAGCTACATATTTGTAAATAGCAATTGCAATGGCGAACCGGATGACGTGGGTCGAAGTAATGTTCTTTGTGCTAGTGTTGGAATGAGTTTAGTTTTACGCCGTTTTTAGCAATATTCCAAGAATTTCACGGCGGGAAAACCAGAAATGGGCTTCACACATTTTACCTATGTGGGAAATCGAACCTGGGTCTTCGGCGTGATGAGCGAACGCTTTAACCACTAGGCTACCCGCCGCCCCGCTAGTGTTGGAACGTCACGTTGCATCAGGATAGTGTCCGCTCACATGGTGTATATTCCTTTTGACCAGCACCTTAACATTTGCTGTACTGCCTTGTCCGGCTGTCCTTTAGACCTCTCGCCCACATGACATGTCTTGGAAGAGATGGATCGACGCCTACAACAGGATCAGAACCGGTAACGCTATACCTCAGATTGCCTAATCTTTTGTCGACAAAACAAGGTCAAACATGCATATCATCAACCATGTGGTGTCTTCAGTATATTACCTGCCTTCCTCGAATTCGAGATATAAATCTACAGCATTATATCGAACCTTGGCTTCAGTCCCAACTTTGTCTTACTTCAGAAAATTGTACCTTCATCTCGAAGCTGGTATTTGCCACAGTAAAGGTTTGGGGAAGCGAAGATAACAGTGAACACCAAATATGACTTTGTCATGAAGCACAATGATATGTCACTGAGTCGAAGCAAGCGAATCATTTCGGGATTGCGACCAAATCTATACAAATTCATTGATACTGGAGGCTCAGCACTACAATACTGAGATCATACTGCAAGTAGTTTCATGCCACCAACGAAAGCTATAGGAACCTTGCCCTTGAGACTGAGGAGAGTCAACCTCTTGTCAGCCTGAACTCAATGAACAGTTGTCACAGTCATCAAAGCTAACAGTTATCACAACACGGTTTTACTTTTAGTTTGATTATGAATTATATAAATATGAACTGTGGTAAAACGCAAGTATTCTAAATGCATATTTCGTAAATCGTTATCATGTGTCACAACCCGGCTGTAGGGAGTGCCGAGCGAAGGTTTTACCCACAAGGCTACCCCCACCTGGAAACTTTAGGCCGCGCCCCTGTGTACATGCTTTTTTGGAAGCCGATTCCGGGGCGTGTTATTTCAGCACTTTCAACTTTTGCATACTTTCTTCAAATATACTACTCACAAAAAATTAAGCAACAAGTATTTTCAGTGTAATATCTTTATCAATCTCGATAGCGATGTTTGCCGACATGTTACTGAAAGGTAAATATTCAAAGAATACATAACCTTTAGTGACTGTCAAATTGATTTATCTGATAACATTGACAACATCACCCGAACCCAACCACCCTCAGAAACAACATGCAAAATGTGTGGCATGAATGTCCTCCACTCTTCACACATGCACCCTAATCGGTGTAAACCTACCTGTAATCATTCCTCTGGCACAACATGCGGGTCCTAACTTCATTTTTATTGATGATAATACCCGTCCATGGATGACAATGCCCGAGAAACTTGAGAGTTTTTAGCGATGTTGTTAGATCAACAACATCACACATATGGACTGGCCTGCAAGGTCACTTGACCTTAATCCCATTGAACATGCTTGGGACATTATTGGAAGTCGTGTTAACAGTCTCCATGTTCACCCCCAGACTCTGGATGACCTTGAGCAGGCATTACAGAGATAATGGCAGAACATTCCAGCAACTTTAAAGGCTCATTTGGTCAATGCAAAGACGTGCAGAAGCTTGCATTTGTGCTCATGGTGGTCATGAGCGTTACCGAACACTGCTTCACTGACCAAAACTGACTTAAACCTTAATGTTAACACTTTGTTCCATCAATGCAGCACATTTTGCACGACTGTTTCGCGGGCACATGCTTTTGATGATTTGTAAGTCTTATTATTGTTCAATACCATTTCATTTCATTTTTTAATCGTGTGTACACATGCTTCACCTTTCTATTGCATCATTCCATGATTTGCAATTTCAATAAATGAAAATGTAATGAGACTACAAATTTGTGTTGCTTAACTTTTTTGTGAGGAGTAAATTAGGAAGTTTGCTCTCTCAGAAATTGACTTAATGTACATACACTTTTTTAAAAAAAGAAACTTTTTATGAGCCATTCTTAGAAGAACTTGTGAAAATACACACGTCTATAGACAAAGACTTCGCCGTCACAACATCAGCCTTTATTATTGTGTTTCTGTTTACCTGAGTCCACAAGATGGCGTCAAAAATCAGAAATTTGTATGGCCACCATTGGCAGCAATTACTGCTCGGCACCGTCTTGGCACAGACTGGACAAGTCGACGCAGTCGCTCTTGCGGAATTCTTCCCCGCTCTTCCTGCAATGCGACGGTCAGTTGTGTAAGTGTCTGAGGCGTGTTTTGACATTGACGTACACGTCGATAGAGTTAATCCCATAGGTGTTCTATCGGGTTTAGATCTGGTGATCGGGAAGACCATGGCAAGACATTGACGTTAGAATTGGCAAGGTAGCGGACCGTGATGCGTGCTTCCATAATCGGAAGCATGTGACGTGCAAGGACTCGAACGTTGATGTACCGATTTGCTGTCAATTTGCCCTCAACCACCTCTAAATCAGATCTTTATGTGCTGGATTTCGTACTCCACACCATGACACTGTCTCCATGTGCCAGGACGATGACGCAAGTGAGCAACTCAGATGTAGCGGTCCTGGACTTGTGTGGTAACTCCTGGACGGCCGTTATTCGGGCGATATTGGGCGGAATTGGTCTGCAGGAAACGATCCCAAAGGCGAGATATGGTGTTCTGATGAACGTTGAAATGTTGGGCAACTGCAGACTGCGACTCCCCAGCTTCAAGGCGGCCTATTGCGATGTTTCGATTGGCGGCACTCAGTCGATGATTTCCTCTTTTCTGGGCAAAAACGAATGACAAAATTAAATACAACGTTTGCCTTTTTATAGTGATCGATAGTGATGCTTTTCCGCATACTTGCACGTGCATTTTGCTTTGCATGTTTTCTTGGTGACGTTTTGGCGAATATTTCTTCAAACACTTCTAAAACAAGGGAAAAAGTTGAGCCTGACCACCCGATGCCTATAGTTGCCTCTTATTACAAGCATGCGTTGCTCGAGACAAATTCTAACCCGGATCTTTACGTGTGAGAGAAGCAATAAATCTTACGTTGAAGAAAAAGCTGTGTAACGTTTCAGATGTGGTTGACTGTGTGTGTTACAGACTGTGTGGTATGAAATAAACAAAAACGAAGTAATCGAAGATTGTTCGACAGTCCTTGATAATAATAACGATAATATACAATATGTGTATATGACTTAGGAACTAAAACACAAAGGCGCTTTACAGAGAGAGTCACAAACGCTACTGAGAGTGGGCTGATTTAAAGAGATGGGTTTTTACGTCTATCTTGAAATGTGACAAAATGTTGAATTTCTCAGGGTAGATGGTAGATCGTTCCATAGTGTTGCTGCAATCTTGTTGAAGCATCTGTCACCATACATTACACTTCGTGTTTTGGACATAGTGATCAGAGATGCAGATTGTGATTGAAGAGATCGCGTTGGCTCATAAGGAATGGCGTGCTCCTAGAGATATGTTGGAGCAGTGTTATGTTGAAGCAGTGTTATGTTGGAGTGAGTGAGTGAGTATGGTTTTACGCCGCTTTTTAAGCAATATTCCAGCAATATCACGGCGGGGGACACCATAAATGGGCTTCACACATTGTACCCATGTGGGGAATCGAACCCGGGTCTTCGGCGTGACGAGCGAACGCTTTAACCACTAGGCTACCCCACCGCCCTTGTTATGTTGGAGCAGTGTTATGTTGGAGCAGTGTTATGTTGGAGCAGTGTTATGCAAGGCCTTGACACCGGAGATGAAATGGCAACCAATGCAAAATCTTGAACCGGTTCAATGTTATTGTGTTTGGTTTTAGTTTTATGATAGTTAACAGACATATGACTAATCTTTACTTTCTTCACATTTTTTTCTGACTGAAGATCATTGACACGTATATTTTCTTTCATCCATTCAACACTGTACGGATCGGTTCTTCGTGTGCTTTCGTGTGATTTTTTGGCCCAAATATCTTCTAATTTCTTTTCACAAAGGCTGATAAATGTCGTATCTATAACATTGGCACCATACATTTGACATCTAGGAATCTCTTTATCAATAACTAGAAAATGCTTTACGGATAAATCAACATAAAATCAAAAAGGTAAATACAACAAGATAAGCTGTAATATGTGAAAAAACATGGTGCATATTAAATTATTGTCCACCTTTGCCTTTGTTTACAAAACAGCCCCAGCAAATCGCCCCAGGTCAAAATGCCCCAGATTTTTGGTCAAATCGCCCCAGGCTTGGTCAAATCGCCCCAGGGGGGTAGTCAAAATGCCCCAATTTATTTAAAATGGTTTAATATACGCCATAAATGCATAGTTTTTGTCAACTTCCATATTATATTCTTCACATAATATTATGTAGTAATATTTCTGATAAATTTTCTATTAGTAAACTGATAAGAGCAAAAATAATGTTCATGTATAGACAACAATGTAATACCAATTATTTGCATGTTATCAATGCTTTTGAATGAAATGAAAGGTTTGTATAAAATGTTTATTGGCCGTAAATGCATAGTTTTTGTCAGCATGTATGGTATAATACTTATTAAAACAATCTACAGCTGTTGTTGTCAAAAGGTGAGGCCGTAAATACATAGGTTTTGTCAACAAGTATGGTATAATACTTATGAAAACAACTTAAAGCTTTTGTTAATTACGCTTGTCAAAATGTGAGGCCGTAAATGCATAGGTTTGGTCAACAAGTATGGTATAATACTTATCAAAACAATTTAGAGCTTTTGTTTATTAGTCTTGTCAAATAGTGTGGATAAAAACAGGCTATCAAAACATGTTCACTAATTGACATACAATGCTGTGTTTAGTTAAAGGAAATGTTGAGGCTCTGCATTGTATAAATTGATTTTGGACTAAGGGTAAGCCATTCACTTCTTCCAACTGACAAGATGACCACCAACTGCAGGAAAAGTTTTTAGGTAGTAAGTGAGGGCCAAGGGGCAATCTCGTGTGACAAATGTGAAGGCTGGACACACAGACTATAGTGTCCAAGAAGAAGTATGAGGAAGCGGAGAGGACAGGTTCCCCTATACCCTTTACATGCACCATCTGTAAAGAGACACCGAGGGAAAGCAGACCCATTGACCACTCATTTCATGGACGTGTGGAAAGCATGATGACAGAGATAGTGGGGATGGTTACTTTTGATGTCAATCTATCTGCAATCGACAGTGTCCCCGATGAAGATACCCTTCACAGTGGAGACACGCAAAACCTCTCGGACATAATTGAAGAAGACATTCAAGAAAGGTAAAAAAAAAACATTCAATATCTATTACTTCATTTACCTGTGGTACATCACTAATTATGAAATAGTTGCAACAGTCTAGTAACAAACCACTAAATATTTCTTTGTATGTAAAGGTCAGTGGCAGAAGACAGCATCACTTCTGACGTAGATGACATCCCCGAAGATGCAGGAAACATATGGACTGTCCTAGAAACAGGCACACAGAAGGGCAAGAGAAGACTGGTTGAGCAAATTGAGGGCAAGAATCAGGGACCGATCAACCACAGCCCAGAAGGAGATCTTTGCTCTGTGGGCAGAGTTCAAGGAGGACCAAATCACAGTCCAGCAGCTCTTGTCAAAAGTTAGCCGCATTCATGGACCAGCCGGTCATACAGACGAAAGTTAAAATGAAAAGAAAGACATATGATTTCCTGTATGAGGAACTTCTGTATGAGGATTATAATATCCCAGTGGACAAAGCTCTAGATTGTTTTTATAAGTATTATACCAAACTTGTTATGATTACACAATGCCATTTGTTGACAAAAAACTATGCATTTACAGCATTTACAATAAACATATTATACAAACCTTTTATTTTATTCTTGTAATTCTTTAACAAATAATTGGTATTAAAGTGTTGTCCATACATGAATATTACTAATAATATAACACATAATATTATGTGAAGAATATAATATGGAAGTTGACAAAAACTATGCATTTATGGCGTATATTAAACCATTTTAAATAAATTGGGGCATTTTGACTACCCCCCTGGGGCGATTTGACCAAACCTGGGGCGATTTGACCAAAAATCTGGGGCATTTTGACCAAATTTGCTGGGGCGTTTTGTCGCTGGGGCGATTTGACTGGCACCCGTTTAAAGTTGTCGTTTCTATGGAATGCATTGGTGCTATGCGTGCGAGCATTGAATGGTCAAGTAAAATTCAATTCAACTGATCCATATGAATTCAAATGACATTCATTCGCACAACCATTTAAAACTGTAAATTCCCATAGATATATAATATTTACAGGATACATATTTCGTAAATCTTATTCACCATACGAAAACTACCAAAGAATACTGCATTCGTATTTCGTATTATCCAAACCAGCGGAAGTTATAGTTTTACATTTTCATCATGGCGGCCTCCATAAACTTTCTGTAGTAGGCTTATCTGAGAAACAGGCTGTGGGAATTTGTTGCAGGTTCACACCCGTTTGTGGCTGTATGCGTGTTTCTCCCAAATCATCCTGATTTGCTGACGATTTTTAAGGAAAAATGGGAAAATATATATTCATATTTTCGTTGTTGGCGTGCTGCCTCAGTGTATTTTTGATGCTTGAAGTTGAACATCTAACGCCATATCAAGAATTAGTTAAATCATACCTTCCCAAATATGCAAGAAATGCGGTAGAATCTGGTGTATTTTTTGTGAGGTCAAAGGTTTTCTCAAGCGGAAAATCAAAAACGTCTGAAAGAATATTTTCAAAATCCGAATTATATCAATACGTTGGAAAAGACGGAAGCGACATTTATCTGGCTGTTTTGGGAAAAGTATATGATGTAACAAAAGGAAAGAAACATTATGGTCCAGATGGAGGCTATCATGGATTTGCTGGTAATCATTAAACTTGGTTGTCAAGTCGTGAATGTGTACATGGCAATAACACAAGTATTTCAAATAATCCATCTGAAAGATCCTCTTGATAATGTTGTAGATTTTGTTACACTGCTGTACTTTACCAAGTTGCAATCTTGAAGTTAAGCTAGGCTAATGAGTTTTTCAAAAAGCCATCACTGGTGCCATCTCAAATATTTAGTGCTCGTACCAAAGTGATCAGTATCTGATTGTTTACCTTGATGTGCATTAGCCATTTTTGTTGGGCTAAAGTAGAAAGAAATATATGGATGGTCCTAAATTGAGATTAAATTATTAAAAGAACAAATATAGCTAACCCATACCCAACTCCCAACTAATCCTAAGGATTGTAAGGCTGTCTGGTGGTATGTGGTCCTTGCGTAGCACAGGTGACCAATGAGGTGAAAATGATGCAACATTGGTTACTGAGAGCAGTTGTAACAGTGATCACATTTGACAGCTTGACTCATGAGCATTTCCAGGCCATAGTAAGGATATGTGGCGTATCCTTAGCCAAGTGACTATTAAATATGCCTCCGTTCACCCACTCTCCTACCCAGAGTTTCGTGCGGCAAGCCAGCGAAGTACCTCTGCCACAGGCCAGAGAAATGTGACGATTCGTCACATCTTGCAATGTCCATTCAATATAATGTACAGATTTCTTAGCTCTTTTATTTTTGACGAGTCTACACATCTAACTAATCATCTTTAACAGAATGGTTTAGTTTCACTGAGAAAATATCCAAAAACGTGTAACTCTTTCGCTTTGCGTAGCGATCCTTTGTTTACATAGGTTGTACGTCTCCACGTGCTGTCATCGAAGCTGATGGAGAGCAAACGATGCAGCCAGTTTGATATCTAAATATGTACTATCATAGACTTTACTGTCGCAGTTGTGGAAGAATATATATGTAACAATGTAAAACGTTATGAAGAGAGCGCCGAAAAGCTTTCGTGAGTCCAGTCTCTTCTTATTATGAATATGTGTGTTACTTTACAAACAAGAGAAAAGTCTGGTCACGTGATATGCAAATTAGCCTGTGGCAGTGATGTTATGTTAGTCATCACTGTGCTGGAGTGTGCCGTTCATTTTGCAATAAACATTGGCCCCAGATATGATGCATTTGTAATATTACTGTTTACTCTCAAGTGCCTTGCAAAGCAGCTGCGGTTGTTAACTCCACGGGGTACCTAATGGATAGGGTTTGGGTTAACCTGCACTTACATAATTAACCCCAAAGACTGAAGAAGCAGGGCACTGTTGCCTAATTTCACTATTTTATTTTAAAAGTAATAACCATCTTAGGTCTTCAGCAACCCATGTTGTCCTAAAAGGTCACTGAAAGCATTGGATGGTGACTAGGTTGATGCATGTCTTTGTTTCCCAATTGTTTAGATTGGTGCTCATGATGTCAATCACTGGAATGTCAGGTTGAGATTTGATTATTTATCAACTGCCATCATATAGCTGTAATATTGCTGAGTGAGGTGTTTAACAACAAACACATCTTAAAATATTTCCCAACCAGGCAGGGGCACAGTGAGTAGCTTTCAACAACCTTTGGTATGATACCGTGGTTAACCAAACTTACAAATTTGGGGTAGATCATGTCTGTTTTGTTAAACATTTAACCATGGTGAAGGAGGAATAGGTAATGTATTTTACATTTGTTTTACTCAGGTCGTGATGGGACCAGGGCGTTCATCACGGGAGAATTTAATGAAGATGGACTAGTGGAAGACATAAAGGGCCTCAAACTTCCTGATTTGCTGGGGCTTGATGGATGGCAGACTTTCTATGAAAAAGATTACAAATGTATAGGTGAGCATTTCTCTGGTGGCAGTTTTGTTTGAATATATTTTCTTCGGTTATCAGTTTCAATGACTTCTTGTTTATGTGACTTTTCAACACCTTGGTATTTGTTACTCTCTGTGACCTGTGAAGATCCCTGTGACCTATGAAGATCCCTGTGACCATGCTTGTCATAAGAGGTGACTAACAGGATCGGGTGGTCATGCTGGCTGACTTGGTTGACACATGTCATCGAATCCCAACTACATAGATCGATGCTCATATTGTTGATCCCTGGATTGTCTGGTCCAGACTTGAATATTTACAGACCGCCGCCATATAGCTGGAATATTGCTGAGTGCGGCGTGAAACAACAAACAAACAAAACGTTTGAGTTCAATTATGTCAAAGTCTGTTTTTACTCATTTTATGCCTTTTCTGTTAATTTAATTTATGATCGAGATAAATATTGTTGATGAGATAAATATTGTTGATGATTTACAACAGTAGTTGGGAATCAGTGACGTAGTTACACAGGGTTTGCAAATTCCATTTAGAGTGCAGAGTACATGTATGTGAAATCCTGTATTTCTAAATGGAATTAGAAATCTTTATTTGCAAGAGACCACCCTGATATTATATTCAAGAAACGGATTAACCATTAAGTGATATATAGTTTTTAGTATAAATATTGAGGTATCTATCCTGTCCGACTGTTTGCAGGCAAGGTACATGGAGAGTTCTATGACTGGAATGGCCAACCTACAGAGAACCTAAAATATTATCAGGAACAGCTTAACTTAGCGAAAGAAAGCCAGCTTAAAACAGAGGCTGAGACAAAACGCTTCCCTCCCTGCAACTCCCAGTGGGCCCAGGATACAGGGACTGTGTTGTGGTGCACCAGTCAAAGGTACGAAGTTCTCAGTATGCCAAGGACACAAATAACAAACTCACATCTAACATACACAGTTTCCAGTTGAAGTAATCAGCATGTCCATTCACATAGTCCCTAGACGATATTTTACTATATATTGTAGCTACATTTATATGCAGTTCTTAAGAAATTCCATTGGTAATAACATATTAATAATTTCTTGCTCAAATATTACAAGGGGGCGATAGGGTAGCCAAGTGGTTAAAGTGTTTGCTCATCACACTGAAAATCTTGGTTTGATTCCCCACTTGAGTACAATGTGTAAAGCTCATTTCCCCTGCTGTAATATTTCCAGAAGCAGCATAAAAATTGTTTCACAAATATTACAAAACACATTAAACATATTAGAAAATCCCTACAATCAACCTTTTTGACACATTTTTTATTTAGCCTTAACTATACGTTTTGGTTGACCTGAAGATCTAGATTAGAATTGATCTGTAGCAACCCATGCTCGTCATAAACGGCGACGAAAAGGATCGGGTGGTCAGGCATATTGGTTAATCCAGTTGGTTAATTGTCATCGTAACCTAATTCGGTAGATTTATGCTCATGTTGTTGATCACTGGATTTTCTGGCCCCGACTCGAATATTTACACACCACTGTCATATAGCTGGAATATTGCTGAGCACAGGGTGATATATTGTTTTGATGTTATGTATGAAGTTTCTTCACTTGTTCAAGTGGCATTTAGAAGCTGGTATGATGAAGAGCAGCACTTATACATTGCTTATGGTATTATCAGGCTTAACATAGAGAATAATGTTGTAACTAAAAAACTATTGTAAATTTCAGTGGTGGCATTGAAAGGGACTGGGTGGGTGTTCCACGTGAGTTTCACGAACCTGGCCGACAACACATGAGATGTGCATGTGTCCGGACAACTGGTCCACCTTCAGATGACCCTGACCTCAAGGATCATAAAAAACCGTGGTGACCTTGACAATCCCCGCTTTAAGGTTTATGCTGGGTGTGATCCCATGGCTGAGTCTTGTAAAATCATCAAGTGATGTGCATGAACGGTGCTTGAGAAAATGATGTCATGTTTTATGTTCGAATCTTGTTGGTTTGTACTGTTACCATGGTTGCTTTCTGTTAGGGATGCCATGATACATCGATACATCGATACTTTTTCTAAGATGATACAATTATCGATACATTCAAAACTGTATCAGTATTTAGTTTTGAAAGTATCGGTTTAAATATGTTTCTTTATCATTTACATTTTGCAATTGTATCATGTGTTTTGATGTTATGAGAGTTATAAATGATTATTTTTCATGCACAAAGATGGGAAATTAGAACTTTTAGATCTCTGAGAATAAAAAATGTTGATCTTTTCATTGACAATTATAAAATATGTAATGTTAATGTTCAAAATGTAAGTAAATTTACACAATAATGCTGCAAAAATAGGTATCGTGATGTGTATCGAATCGTGACATGGGTATCGTGATATGTATCGATTCATAAAACTTATGTATCGTGACATCCCTACTTTCTGTTACAACAAAAATATTGTTTCATGTAAGAAGTTTGATAATACCACCACCACCCCAGTAATATTTCGAACACTGGACCAGTCCCTTGACTTTATGAAAGATATGATCTCCCTTTTTGTTTGATGAAATATGATGAGTAAGTGATTTGGGCCTGAACTAGACTACCTTTAACCAATGAAAAATGGTCACAATAAACAGTAAATGTTTGGTTGGAAGGTAGGTCCTGTGTCAGGCATGGACTGCTTAATTTACATTGATGATTTATTTTGAAGATCAGTATGTGATATGCTGCTATAATTATGATCCTTTAGATTTTGAAATAGAAAAAATAACGGTTGTCGGTGTAGTTTCAAATATTTTTGCAGTCTTCATAAGTTGCTCATTGTTTTTGGATCTCATCCTACTAGCTGGCTTTCATGTAGCCTAGTGTTAGACTTGGAATGACTGATGCATATGTTTCACGTGCTACATGATGTACACATGTGATAATGATACTGTAGATGATAGAGCAGTAACTAACCATTGTCAATGACTGTTTCAAATATTTTTGCTGACTTCATAAGTTGCTCCCTGGTTTTGATCTCATCCTACCATCTGGCTAACATGTAGGTCTTGTGTCAGACTTGGATTTACTGATTCATATTGATGCTTCATGCACTACATGATGTACTCATGAAATTATGACACCGTAGATGAGAGAGCTGATGACTGATTCACAATGAATGTTTCAAATATTTTTGTTGATGTAAAATGTTTCCCACTAGTTTAAGATTGCATGTACCATCAGTGTCAATCAAATGCTCTTTTCAGGGATTATGTTCTTCAGGTTTTAGAAGACGGTTTACAATTATCAGCGGGAACGTAGAATTTCATCTTAGCCCTAGAAGCTGTCAAGTGACTTGTCTCTTGTTACAAGAAATCTTTGAACTGATTATCAAATATCAAGTTTTGAAATACAGACATGGGATCAGGTCCATTTCAACAAAGATGAGTGTCATCAGTTAATATTATGTCATTGTTACTGTCAAAGAAATTAACATGATCTTTTTGCAAAATCTATTTCTTACAAAAGTTTGTGCTGGCCAATGAGCTTTCAGATATGCCTAAAAGGCATTGTCTTGAAGCAGTGTATGAAATAAGGCCCGTCCGACCGCCGAGACGGTCTAGATTTCTGACGGACCCGGTATAAATTTACAGCTAGCCAGCCCGATGGTCTGGTAAAAGTTTTAGATGTTCCATACATCTGAGTAAAGTCACCATATTTCGGTCTGGTTAAGTCCATTTTGGGCTGGTAACATTTTGAAGTTACCAGCCCTAATGTCTAGCTGGATTTTTGGCTTATTTCATACACTGCTTGAAGATAAATGTCTTCTGTCCAGGTCTTGTTTGTAAACCAGCATGTGGGTTCATGGCCATCCCTGCTTTATGGTTGGAAACAGACTTAATATGATATGATGTAAATATCTTGAATGACTGTTATTTCTAACAATGTGGTAACATTAGGATGGCTTGAGATTGAATGTTATACCCAATGTGTTCAGATCTTGTATATGTGAACATTCTCAACAGTACTGTTCTCAAGGAAGTCTTCCGGTTCAATGAATCGTTGAAACAGAATTATCTCCCCTGCTTTGTATATAATAGGATGTTGCTATATACTTAGCATCTCAAATTATGATATACACAAGAAATGTATTGGTAGTTGGATAGTTAACATCTCATCAAAGTTCATATCATGATATACTGAGGGAAAAAATAAGGGGATCACATGAAAGCACAACTTGTGAAGAAACCTGGAAAAAAATACAGGAACACTTTCAAGTCATCCGTTATTTTTTCCCTCAGTATAATTTTACACATGGTAATTTTCTCATTTTGCTTTTATGCTTCTTAGATTGATATTGATAGTTTTAGTTTTACTGATATAAGTGTTGAATTTAATTCGAGAATCCAACAATTGTTAATATTTCTGAGTCTCATGCTTATTTTGAACCCAGAGGAACGAAATCTAAGTGACTGACAAGATGTTTCATTGTCTGGTTGCTATGGGTGACATTACTGCATGGCCTAAGATCACTCAGAACAGTTCTTCTACAATTTTCCAGAACTTTCAAGAGTACCATCGGTGTTATGGTCCATTTGTATCACATCTGGGATTCTGGTTTAGCGGAAGTGATTCCTAATCTCTACCTGAGAAGTGGCCAAGTAGATTGGGTGGTCAGTCAGAGACCAGGTTCATTTTGTGTCCTTTTACTGAAATGGTGTGAATCTTTGCTAATAATACTGATTCTGGATTTTCTGGTCCAGACTCAATTATCTTCGATGCTGAAGGTGTTGTTAAACAACAAACAATAAATATGTATGCTAAACTGAGAGCTGTGATAGTGCTGCTGGATGATGTTTTCGATGTTATGGTTTATTTTGGTTGTTTGTTTATAAAGCCAAGTAATGTAATTTAATATCTTTGTATGTGGAAGGTTTTGAAGGGCTGTTTGTCCCAGGAAAAATCTTGATATGACATGGAATTCACATACTTAAAACACTTACTTATATGTGGTGGGCTGGCACAAATATTCAAGTATGTAAATATAAAATACAGTAGGTGGTTATGGATTGCTGCAGAGAAGTGAATACACCTGAATTCACAAAGATATGTTGATAACACTGGTAGGTATAATGTTGTTCACCTATACAGGGATCTATGTTGGCAGATTAATGCTGAATACAACACGATCTTTAGATTTTGTATTTTAGATTTTTGGAAATGTTGTTCACCTTCATAGGCTTGAACAACTGAGATGTATTGTTTTTTACTTAGGTCATTTTTAGAACATTATCAGTATTTATTACGATCAAGTATGGACACAATCTAAGCCAAATAGTGCTTTGGTATTGAATCTTCCAGGTGATGCCGTAAGTACTGCTTTATATGATGATGTCATTTAGTAATCAATATTCATACAAAATATGGTTAGACTTGATGTGATATTCTGTTATTTTGCTCAGTGCTAAGTTGTAGTTATTACACTGTCATTTTGAATATTAGGCTCATTATTTTATTTTATGTGTCTACTTTTTATTATGTTTATCCTGACCATTGTGTTTTCTAATGCCATGACATGAATTTCAGTTTACAATGTTATTCATATTGAAGTTTACAGGTGTAAAGTGAATTTATCATAGTTTAAAATTGAATTTCTAATTACAATGTTGTTATGGTTGAAGGGGTCATTGTCAGCACGTGTACTACAGATATGTGCCCAGGTCATAATACATAATACATAAACAAAATATACTGGACAAAATAAGTTAGGGATATTGGCATTTTTATGATTGTTATTTTATCAGTGTGTCAATGAATAAATAGATCATTATTCATAATTTCAAATTTACATATATCCCTAACTATATTTGTCCAGTTTAATAATACACAAATATACCAGTTACCCTAAGCGGTTGACGAGCCCATATTCTCCACCCTAAACCAAAACCGGTTCATGTTATACTTGATTACGAGTGATACTGTGCATTATGAAATATTTGTTCCTTGTACAATGCTATCCAATGCATCTCACAACAGTATGACAGTTCCGATCAAGAAAACGGTGCGTAATGGACTCGTCCTAGGGTGCGTTTCTGTATGGCTAGGATATGTATCTTTTACAGAAACGTACCCGGGGTACATGTCTGTAGCACCAGTGCCGACAACGACACCTTTAGGGTTATTACGACTGAAGTGTAAACGTGTCATTATGATTTTATGGGCGTTTGAAAATGTGAATGAGTTATGTCCCTTCGGAAAGCAAACCCATGTCCAGTGTTGTTGAACAGTCGATGATTGAGAGGAAGTCTTAGGGACTGGACATCGGATGATTGACTCACATTCCAGTGACTCACTGGAAATCCCGATGGTTGACTGAACATCTCAATGATTGTGTGAACTGCCAGGTCAGTGACTGTACAACCCAACGATTGTCTGGACGTCCCAGGAACTGACTGGGCGTCTTTCTGAGGTTGTCTGGAGGTCCCTATGATTGTGTGGACTTCAAACAAAAGGCTGTAGAACCCAAATGATTGTCTGAACGCTCCTGGCATTGACAAGACATGTTCGTGAGGTTTTTTGGAGGTCCCAGTGATAGTGTGAACTTCCAAGTCAATGATTGTACAACCCATTGAACTGACTGGACATCTTTGTAAGGTTGTCTGGAGGTCCCTATGATATTGTCTGGACTTCAAACCACTGACTGTAGAACCCAATGATTCTGTGGACGTCCCAGGGATTGACTGGACATCTTTGTAAGATTGTCCGCAGGTCCCAGTGATTGTGTGGACGTCCCAGTCAGTGACTGTACACCCCAATGATTGTGTGGACGTCCCAGGAACTGACTGTACACCCCAATGATTGTGTGGACGTCAAAGTCAGTGTCTGTAGAACCCAATGATTATGTGGACGTCCCAGGGATTGACTGGACATCTTTGTAAGATTGTCCGCAGGTCCCAGTGATTGTGTGGACGTCCCAGTCAGTGACTGTACACCCCAATGATTGTGTGGACGTCCCAGGGTTTGACTGGACATCTTTGTTAGATTGTCTGCAGGTCCCAGTGATTGACTTGACACCAAATGGATCGACTGGACATCCCGCTGATCGAACGTCTCTCACAAAGCAACGTTATCCGCGAACCATTATTCTGGAAACTCCTTTAGCTTTTAACGTCTTCCAGGAACCCCAGTGCCACTCACTGTCGTGAACACAGTTACTACCAAACATCATGACGGATGATAGTGTTTTCATCATTGAATAATTGACGCTTGATTTGAACGTTGTCAGTTTGCATGTCCACCTAACAGGCCTCATAAATACTACTGAAATTAATTTAAGAAAACCGAAGCATGGGTGTTGCAGTGCCAATGACAGGTCACATATAGTCACTCAGAAATAGATCTGATGAGATGTAACTTAATTTGTGTAGTATATGAAGAGTAATCGGTCAATGCAGATGCTAGCGTTCATCGTTTATAATCAGTTGTATTCGTAGACATGACATGATTACATAGCATTAGTGTAGTAGATGAGGTTTGACATCTGCTGATATTTAAGCAGTTCACTGCTGCTTGTATTCATGCGGTTGATATCTAAGATCCTTTGAACAACGACTTTAAGAATATAACGGTACAGATGATGTAGACTCCGTGACATGTATGAACACATTCAATTGCTTGTTCAAATAAAGATAATTATTTTATTACAAATACTGCCTTGGTTATTGATAACTTAATGATGCCATGCTGTAAAACAGTGAGTGGGTTTGGTTCAGTTATGAAATGAACCACTTTGTTTTGAAATTCGAGGCAGTATATTGGATTTATAATAGCTCTAAATGTAATTTTAAATCGAATGAGTTTTACATTCAGTTTAGAGCTGTTATGAATCCGTTATACTATCTCTAGTTTCAAAACACAGTAGGTTTATCTCCATACTATCATGACGTTTGATAATGCACGCTTTCAGCTGGGGCTCTTGTTTTCGTTACGCTTCAATACTTAATACTTGAAGTGGACACGTGAAGATCCGGGCTAGAATTGATCTTCAGTAACCCATGCTTGCCGTAAGAGGCGACTCATGGGTTGGGTGGTCAGGTTCGCTGGCGTGGTCGACACATGTCAACATATCCCAATTGCTTAGATCGATGCTCATGCTGTTGATCACTGAATTGTCTGGTCCAGACTCGATGTATTACAGACTGCTGCCATATAGCTGGAATATTGATGAGTGGTACCTTTTCACGGAAGTAAATGTTTACCGTAACGTTTGAAAAATTGCAAGATGCAGCAACAGAGAGGAAGATAGCTGGAATATTGATGATAGTGAGGTTGCTTTAACCTGGTTGTATGACAGTCGTCGATCTGTCATTGTAGGCTCCTTGCAAAATCGTGGAGGGGGATTTAATCTGATGAGGAGTCCGTGTCGTACCAATTTGGATACTGTTGATTTATGTGCCAACTTTTCCATTTGATTCTGCTAACTCTTGCACTGTGATTTGTGTACATTGTGCTCAAACTTGATTCTGTGGATAGTTTGCCACCCTTTTGAAAGTGTGTTCTCTGGCCTGATTGCTTAAAAAGCAAGGGGTGTAATTTTGAATAATATTTCTGAAAAGATAAACTAGGAGGTAAAGGTGTACCTCAAGCATAAATTGGGAGGGGGGTGGGGGTTCGACTGTCCTTTATCCTGTAGTGCCATAGGTGTTTGTTCAGTTCTTCAGGAGGAGGTGTTTCGAAGTCTGGATTTGTCATTTTCGCTCAGTCATTCTGAATCGGAAGGACTTAATACATACCAGGCTTCAGGAAGGAATCGTAATTATGTTTTACGCAAAATCGTTGGTATTGCAAATACATGTAAATGTTTACGTAGTTCCGTTCAATTGGGACGGTGGGGTAGTCTAATGGTTAAAGCGTTCGCTCGTCACGCCGATGACCCAGATTTTATTCCCCATATGGGCACTATTCTGGTGTCCCCCGGTGTAAAACTAAACTCACTCACTCTATTGAAGAATGCATCTCCAAACATACCAACAATATTTAAACATTTAAAAGCGCATGGCCGAAAGAACTGCTACAATAAACTATCACGTCTATTGTGGAAAGAGAACCTACCCCTACTGTCATGAAACATTGTAAAATGGTTGAAATGAATAAAATATATTAACAAAAAAAAATCAAAAAATCACTCTGTTCAGTTAAAGCTTTGAGCTTTAGTCATTGAATTGTATTCAATTCGCCAAGATTTATTTGACTAATTTGTTGATTTAGCATTGTGGGCATTTGGACAGTACTGACTGACTGAGTTTGGTTTTACGCCGCCTTTAGCAATATTCCAGCAACATCACGGCGGGGAACACCAGAAATGGGCTTCACACATTGTACCCTTGTGGGGATTCGAACCCGGGTCTTCGGCGTGACGAGCCAACGCTTTAACCACTAGGCTACCCCACCGCCCCATTTGGACGGTAGCTGTAGGTGGCATCATATACTCGTAACATCCAAATGTCTAGTCCCGAGTGTAGTTGAAGGCCTCCCTTCGAGGAAAATGGAACCTATATCTCCTTCGTCAGTGTTTGGAAACCAATTTGGAGTTACTGGCTTTGTCGTTTCAGTCGTCTCCCTAATTGAGTGAGTGAGTGTGGTTTTACGCCGCTTTTAGCAATATTCCAGCAATATAACGGAGGGGAAACCAGAAACGGGCTTCACACTTTGTGCCCATGTGGGGAATCGAACCCGGGTCTTCGGCGTGACGAACGAACGCTTTAACCACTAGGCTACCCCACAGCCCTCTCCCTCATTGAACATATTACCAGTAATAAACGAATCATAGTGTATACTATACTTCAACAGATTACCTTAGTTCAACCAATGTATTGGATCTATGGGATTTAATCATTTTAAACGAAATTATAGAAACTTCTGATCCCCCTAAGATATCATATTTAGCCAAATATTAGTACGGTTTTAAGTGAAGGTTACAGCTGCAATAACTGCTTTATACTACTGCTACATTTAAGACTACGGTTTTGTTCGGATTAGGTTCATTACCCGAACTGTATAAATTGATACATTATGCAACGAAATTTAGTATTTAACTCAATTTTATATGGAAAATAAAACCCTTAACAGTCATCAGTTTAATCTATTTTAGCATAACATGGAGTTTACATGAACATATTATTTCTTGTTTGTTTTTTTTATCGGAAAGCAGGCGACCAATTGGCCTTGTTAGACTAGACATGTTGTCCTATATTGTATATAATAACCTGTTTCTGATTTCCCACAGCAAAATCGCCCTAATCCATCGTTGCATCGTAGTTTGTTTTGTGTCAAAACCCACCCGCACCCACACCCACCACCATATTGGCGAGCACCTGAAAATAATGCATTAATAGTGAACATTGTGTAGCGGAAAATCAGAGATCTGTATAACGTAATTATACACCTCTGATGGGCTATAATTAACCAATCACAAGAAAGTATTACTCAAGTCATCGTAGAATGCCTCTTTAGGAATAATGTCAGTTACGTCGTAGCGTGTTTTGTTGTTGTTGTTATAATAATAATAATAATGATAATAATGTTATTCATTTGTATAGAGCTTGTATCCAATGTAACACTGCTCCAAAGCGCTGTTGTCCACGAGTCTGCATTTATGTTTTGTTTTAGTGGGCACAAAACAGATGAGTTTTTAGTTTTGATTTGAAGACATCAAGTGTCTGACTTGTTCTGATCTTCTCTGGCAAATTGTTCCACAGCAATGGTCCAGCAATTGTGAAAGATCTGTCACCATAACTCGCGGTTCTGGCCTTGTGTACTTTAAGCAGATGGTGAGTGGAGGTTCGTATGGCTGAACCAGGTCACAGATGTAGGCTGGAGCAAGATGATTAACTGCTTTGTAGACAATAAGTGATTCTGCTCTCAACTGAAAGTGATTCTCGGCAACCAATGCAGGGACTTTAAGAGCGGAGTGACATGTTCGTGTTTGCCAGCTCGATGAATAACCTAACCTTGTCTGTTGTGTTTGTATTCGCTGAAGTCTCTCAAGTTGATGTTATGGTAATCCCTATAGGAGAGAATGACAGTAGTCAAGCTGTGAGATAACTAGGGCTTGCATAAGCGAAGCAGAAACATCCTTACTGACATATTTTTTCTGACAAGCTAAATATTCCTGATATATGTACAGTGGAAACCTGATAAGTAAAATTTCAAGGGACTTGCCAAAATTGTTTACTTATCAGGTATTTTAATTATCCAAACTTATAAAACCTGCAAATGACAACCATATGCATGTATATGTATGCATATGTAACAATGAACAACTTATCAGGGCTGGCCTCCAGTTGTCAGTGTATTGTCAACTGCTTGACGCCAGCGAGCTGTAAGTAGGATGTTTGTTTGACTGGAGACTGACACAACTGCCCCTCATGTCGGATTATGTGGTGATCGCTAATTTAGTTATCCAGTCTCTTTTGTTAAGGTAATTTACTTCCAGGGACCGTGAGAAGACGTTTAGTTAAGCGGTATTGTTTACTTATCCGAGTTTAGTTAACCGGACTCTAATAGTGATAATTAATGAAGAAATTTGCCGGGACCAAAGAAAAGTGTTTACTTATCAGGTCTGTTTAGTTAAGCGGTCTTTACTTAGGCGGTTTCCATACATATATACATTGGCTTGTTGGTTTGTTGTTTAACGCCACACTCAGCAATATTCCAACTATATGGCGGCGGTCTGTAAATAGTCGCGTCTGGACCAGACAATGCAGTGATCAACAGCATGAGCATCGATCTACGCAATTGGGAACCGATGACATGTGTCAACCAAGTCGGCGAGCCTGACCACCCGATCTCCTTATTCGCCTCTTAGGACAATCATGGATTGGTATACACCAATTCTAACCCGGATGTTCACGGGTGTCATGGCGCGTGGAGGGACAGTGATGCAGGTCTCTGACGTTTACATGTCCGTGGAACCGTGTGTTTGGTGTCCTGAAGAATTTAGGTTACACACGAAGCTACGGTCGTAGCGTGAACTAAACCATTACTCTGCTTTCCTGTCCACTTTTCATTTTCGGCATATGTACCCTTGTTTTGCAGGGCTTACTATTCGTTAGTGTTGTTTAATGTCTTGGGGACATTTCGAATCTGTTATATTAAATAATGTAGACAAGTTCCTTTACTTTTTGATTAAGTGTCCTGTACCTTTATTGCAGGAGGTGAGGTGAAATTGGGTTTCAACCTCGCACTTAAGAATATTTTGCTCATATGACGACGTGCATGCGTGTGTATGTGTGGCTGCGTGTACTAGCCCAGACCTATGCTGGTTGTATAGTGCTAGCTTAGGGTGCATGCACACTACGTCCGATTTTCTATGCGATGCTTCACTCGATGCGTTAAAAAACGCACACCGTGTATTTTACTATGACCACGCACACTGCAACCGATGCGTCAAATGCATCGCATTTGAAATCGCATGTGATTCCATTTAGACTAATTAGTGACGTCATTATTTTGCTACAATTAGAGGAGCCGGGTTGTCAGGCTGACATTGTATTCCCGTTGCGTAGATCGATGCTGTTGATGTAAGTCACTGGAAGGTCTGGTTCAGTCTTGATTATTTACAGACCACGTATATAGCTGGAATATTGATGATAGTGACACCCGACAACAAGAAGTCAGTCACTGGAAGGTCTGGTACAGATCTGGGG